TATGTATGTATGTATGTAATGCATGTAATGTATGTAATGTATGTAATGAATGTAATGTATGTAATGTATGTAGTAATGTATGTAATGTATGTAATGTATGTAATGTATGTAATGTATGTAATGTATGTAATGTATGTAATGTATGTAATGTATGTAATGTATGTAATGTATGTATGTAAGTATGTAATGTATGTAATGTATGTAATGTATGTAATGTATGTAATGTATGTAATGTATGTAATGTATGTAATGTATGTAATGTATGTAATGTATGTAATGTATGGAATGTATGGAATGTATGGAATGTATGGAATGTATGGAATGTATGGAATGTATGGAATGTATGTAATGTATGTAATGTATGTAATGTATGTAATGTATGTAATGTATGTAATGTATGTAATGTATGTAATGTATGTAATGTATGTAATGTATGTAATGTATGTAATGTATGTAATGTATGTAATGTATGTATGTATTTATGTAATGTATGTAATGTATGTAATGTATGTAATGTATGTAATGTATGTAATGTATGTAATGTATGTATGTATGTATGTAATGTAATGTAATGTAATGTAATGTAATGTATGTATGTATGTATGTATGTATGATGGTATGTATGTATGTATGTATGTATGTATGTATGTAATGTATGTATGTAATGCATGTAATGCATGTAATGTATGTAATGTATGTAATGTATGTAATGTATGTAATGTATGTAATGTATGTAATGTATGTAATGTATGTAATGTATGTAATGTATGTAATGTATGTAATGTATGTAATGTATGTAATGTATGTAATGTATGTAAGTATGTAATGTATGTAATGTATGTAATGTATGTAATGTATGTAATGTATGTAATGTATGTAATGTATGTAATGTATGTAATGTATGTAATGTATGTACTGTATGTAATGTATGTATGTTATGTATGTATGTAATGTATGTAATGTATGTAATGTATGTAATGTATGTAATGTATGTAATGTATGTAATGTATGTAATGTATGTAATGTGTGTATTGTATGTAATGTATGTAATGTATGTAATGTGTGTAATGTATGTAATGTAAGTAATGTATGTATGTATGTATGTATGTATGTATGTATGTATGTATGTATGTATGTATGTATGTATGTATGTATGTATGTATGTATGTATGTATGTATGTATGATGTATGTATGTATGTATGTATGTATGTATGTATGTATGTATGTATGTATGTATGTATGTATGTATGTATGTATGTATGTATGTATGTATGTATGTATGTATGTATGGATGGATGGATGGATGGATGGATGGTTGGATGGTATGTATGGTATGTATGGTATGTATGGTATGTATGGTATGTATGGTATGTATGTATGGTATGTATGGTATGTATGGTATGTATGGTATGTATGGTATGTATGGTATGTATGGTATGTATGGTATGTATGGTATGTATGGATGGATGTATGTATGTATGGTTACCTGGTTTAACAGAGCATTATGATGCATTATGTAGGTCCAACTCCCAGATTTAACGATGTTTTCAAACTTTGAGGTGTTTTTTGGTTTTAATAGAAAATTTGGAGAGTGCTGAAACGCGATACGATTGACCGAATTGATGCGAAACCCATGGATTTGCGGTGATTTTGCGTGTCCAAAACCGTGATTTTATGATTCTATGAGATAGTTGCATTTGAAACGTCAATGTTCGTCATCTTTTCTGTTCAAATCCATGTCCAGTCATGTCTCTCCTCTCCAAATCCATGAATGTGAACCGCAAAACGGTACACATTGTAACAACCAGAAATTACCGTAGATTAATGTACAGTAAACTTTCCGACTTTCCGCAGTTTCCAATCATTTTTTCCGGGAAATCTTCGCATGGCGAAGCAACACAGGCCTCCCAGAAGCGTCGTCAACGCCCGTGGCTGCCGGCGCCGCATCCCAAGTTGCAGGCAGGATCTGGACGTCCATTGGTCCGGTATGAACATTACAATCCCTTATGATTGGATGATTTAACAATTATCCAATTTTAATTATCCAATAGTTATTGATGTTATTGGATCCGCTATTGGATCCAATCTGGCGGGACGGTTCAACTTATTCCCTACATATTTGAGCAGCAAAAACTCCAGCAATACTAAGCATGTCAGGGATGGATATCGGTTTCTGGAAATAAAAACATGTGGTAATGGATGGGACCTTTCCAAATTTGTGGATGTCCTTTCCATGAACCTGGAGTTTCCGAGATTGCTCATTTAATGAGGAGTTCCATTACATGAAGAAGGCTACCAAGAACTGATAGTATGATCCAATATGGGGACGATGTCCATGCGCAATCTTGTAGTTATGACCAGTCGAATGGGTCGAACCAGCAGCAATAGGGGGAATCCCGATCAAAAATGGGTTTCATATGAAAACGTAGAGAATATTATAACTACCACAAATAAACAACAACAAAAGCTTCTTTCCAAGACGAGGAACAATCCATTTCAGGGTTCCATACAGGAAAACTCTTGGAATCTGCAGGGATTGGATCTCCAAAAGGTAGATTCTGCCGCAGTCAGTCTGCTTAAAATTCAATCAATCCAGAGATGCTGTCAGACTCACCTCAGACTGCAGCACCATTTTTGCAATTTTTTATGAAGATTTCGGCAGGCGCCGAATGTGAAGATTGCCAGCCCCAGTGAGTTCAACCCTGTGCTGGTGTTGAATGAGCCGCACCCGCATCCCTGGGATGGAGCCAGGCTGGAACTTTCAGAGTTTGGTGAACCCTTTGGCTTTCAGAGTTTCCGTTGAATGGGTGTTCTTTTAAGTCTTGGCCATGACACATATTTTATGAAATCACATACGGAAAAATATGATATAAGATCGGTATCATGTATTATATGTATACAAAAACATAAATGTCCAGTTGCTCGTTCAGGGTGGATGCACCGCGACGTCACTATCCTTTGTGGGGCTTGGGCAGGCCACCTGTCAGCGACATCCCCACAAAATCATATTGGGAAATCAGTGAAATATATGGGACAAATCTTGGAAATATTAGGATAAAAACTGTGACATATTTCAGTACAAAAAGATGCTTGGATATCATGCGAATATCAATGGATATAGAAGGACATATATCGAACATATCTCCAATATTCTGGATTGCATCGTTTTTTTGCGAATAAACTTTTCCATCTGCCCATCCAGTATCCTTTCCGATATTTTTCTTCCCCTGCAAGCAGAAACGCTAACCCGGACACGCGCCAGATACATGCACACCGAACTGCAAGATAAACCGCCCTGGAAGGACCTCTGTGGTGGTGGCAGACCCCAGCTGTTCTGATGGTGTAATGAATGGATACCTTCTTGTTATTTTGTAGTGGTTTGCGAACTGGAAGCCATCGACAATGTATCCTTTAAGAAATGGTGATTTTCCTTGGTGATGTTCAAGTAACAGAGCGCAATGGACCTTTTGTTCGGAAACCCTGGATACTCATGACAAGTTGCGAGATGGAGCAACGAACACAAATCCCATCAGAAATGGCTCAAGTGTCGCAATCTGACCATCTAACCAGCTCCAATTTGTAGATGATTCTCATCAATAGATAGTATAGATACTATAGATACTATAGATCCAGTAATTACTATTAGCTGTTATAGCCTATAGCAATCCCCCCTTGCAGATACCACCCGAACCATGGCTGTTGGGAGGATCCCAGCCGTTCCATCCGACCGCTGCGCTGGGATCCCACGAAGCTTAAGTGCCAAGCTCAGGGCATGGCAGATACGGGGAAAGATATGGTGATATACTGATGCCCCAAATCAGCATATACCCTCTGGTTATTTAAATGGTGGTTTTAGTGGGAAAATCATCCATAAATGGGCCATTTTCCATGGCAATGTTAAATAACCAGATGGTATATATATATATATGTGAAAGTTCATGTCATGAGAGACCACCCATTGATCCCAAACCAGCGTTTGCAGAGAAGCAAGATCCTATGGCCATCTGGCCCAATGCGTAGGGGCCCCTAGATTCTTACCTGTGCATGGCAGACCGGCCATGGACTGACTGCTGGTGTCAAAACAGAGGGAACGCCGCCACTGCATTTTCCGCAGTGGCAGCGGAGCCCGGGGAGATCCTGGGTGACGCTTGTGCCACCAATAGTCCTGTCCTGAAGGAATGCCTCAGCCAGGAGAAGATAGCTCCGAAGACCAAAGCCCAGCTCAACCAGGACCAGCTGCTGCGTCTGCAATGGCGGCCTCTTCGGTCGTCCCCGCGGGGAGTTATGAGGGAGGTGGGTACCGTGACAGGGAGCCACCACCCACATACGACGGGGAAGACCCAGAAATGACGTTCAGGGTTTATGAAAAGAACGTCAAACTCTGGGAGTTCGAAACAGATGTGCCACCCACCAAAAGGGGTATCAAGCTGATGCGTGCTCTCTCAGGCGTGGCACGCCTTGCAGTGGATGAGATGAGTTTTGAAGAAATCACAGCAGCAGATGGGGTTTCTCAGGTCATGAGGAAGCTGAAGGAATACTTCCTTCCCCATTTGGAAGTGTCGTTACCTAGAGCCTTTGAGCAAGCTGTGTATGGTGCTGCTAGGCAATCCAAGGAAGGTTTTGCTGAATACATAGCCAGGATGGACCGAAACTTCACCAGGCTCTCAAAGGAAGGAGTGGACCTTCCAGACAGTGCTCAGGGTTATATCATTTATAGGCATGCCGCCTTGAATGATGCTCAGGATCAGCGCTTCTTGGTCTGGGCGGATGGCAAGTACGACCGCATCTCAGTAGTGAAGGCGCTGCGGAAACTGGATAAGGTGATCCGTGAGAAGGGCAAGAGCACCTTCATGACTGAGGATGACTCCTACAAGGAGGAAAGCTTCCACATGGAAATGGACCCTGTGCTCAAGGAGTTTCTTGAGGATGACGGGTTGAATGGAGAGTTCATCTACCTGCAAGAAGGCGATCTGAACGAGATCATGGAAGAAGAGGATGTCTTGGCAGCGCTGGCAAGCTACCAGGAAGTGCGTCAAGCGCTTAGAGATCAACAGAAGGGTCGGGGCTACTATGGAAAGGGCCACGGAAAGGGTCTTTTCAATGTCAAGGGCAAGGGCAAGGGCAGGTGGCAGAAAGTGCACATAGAGCAAGTGAAGCTTCGCAGCCGATGTTGGAAGTGTGGACAGGTAGGACACTTCAGCCGTGAATGCAGGAGTGAGCCCAAGCCAAAGACACCAGCTTCGAGCGGCACCTCAGTGACTGCATCAACGAGCACCTCGAGATCTGGCTTCTTAGTTGTCTCAGGCCCAGATGTCACCCCAAAACGGGAGTCGTCTTTCTGGTTGCGTGAGTTTTTGAACAGTCAGCCAAAGGAGCATCGTGCGCAATCCGAGAGAGCATACAAGGCAGATTCAGCAGGTTTTTGTGGCGTCACCACCAAGCCAGAACAAGGGGTTGTTGATACTGCAGCTGAGGGCGGTTTGATTGGAAGTTTTGCTTTGGAACGTTTAGAGTCACAACTTGGTCAGTTCAATCTCAAATGCAAGTGGATTCCAAAGAGATCAGCAGCAAAGGGCGTTGGAGGAAACGCCAACGTTTTAGGCGTTGTTTTGATTCCCATGGGGATCGGCGGAATCAATGGACTTTTGGAATGCACAGTCATAGAGGGAGACGTTCCGATGTTGCTCCCCATACGCATGATGAAGGGTCTCCGCACTGTCATAGACGTAGACAAGATGGAGTTGCACATGAAAGCATATGACACGACGGTGCGCATGCATGAACTTCCTAGCGGGCATCTCACCATAGACATCATGGAATTTGAGAATGGCAAGTTTTCACTTCCACATGGCTCTCCAGAATGCAGTTTAGGCGATTTTCAGGTCAACCAAGGTGTGTCTGAGTGCCTGTGGAATCACCTTCCATGTGAAGCAATGGTGGCTCAATCCACAGATCGAGCAAATTCGAACTCCCCAAGAACGAAGACTTCTCTCAGCAATGTCGTCTTTGCTGGAACGTGCGAAGAACCTGGGGAAAGCCATGGTGGCGCATGCAAATCCACCACAGAGCGAGAAGGATGCGGCCATGTCAGAACCGCATCATGCAAAAAGGGCACTCAAGGGTTGGCGCATCATCATGGACAAGGTGATCACCCTGTTGGTGCTGGTCGAGCACCAGCACATTGTGGAAGGTTGGCTGCCACTCTCACAGCCCTCACTTGGCTTGCCTTCGGAGTCCAAGGAGGAGAAGCTGGAGGATGTCTATGCGGAGCTGATCCAATGCTCAAAAAGGCTTACGCCACTGAAGTCAAAGGAGGAACCGAAGGTGTCTATGAGCACATGCATTCACCCGAAGAAAGAGCTGAAGGGTGGAGGGAACCAAGCGGGTTCCTACATCTACTGCCGCCTGTGCAACAGCAGGTGGGAGAACACTATGAGGTCACAGGAAATGCGCAAGGAGATCAAGGAGCAGAACGCCAAGAAGAAAGGGGGCCTCTTGAGTCAAGAAACCCAGGCACAACAAGCACCACACACCATGATGAATGCACAGGAGCACAGCACATCAAGCCTGGTGGATGGACTCAGGAGTGCAATGCAAGAGGAGCAGGCCAAGACCGAGATGATGAGGTCAATGATGCAGAAGGAGATGGAAGCACAACGCATTGCCTCCCAAGAAGCTCAACTCAGGAACGAGAGGATGATCCAGAGTCTGCTACAGAGCAGGCAAGGCCCAGTGCCAGATGTGATCCCAGAGGAGATGGCAGTCGTGAAGTGCCTTTGCGGGACGGAAGCCGAGAAGTTGAGGGTCAAAAGGGAAGGGCCGAGACAAGGAAGGTTCTTCTGGAAATGTGTCCAGAGGAACTGCTGGAGTCCAAGGAGCCAGACGAAGTGTGGGCAGCACTATGGCGATGCTGGATGAGGACGTTCGGAGTTCCAGAAATCCTGACCTGTGATGCAGGGAAGGAGTTTGCAGCCGGCTTCTGCAAACGGGCAACAGCGTGCGGCATAGTCACCTACCAGGTTGGAGCCAGAGCTCCATGGCAGAATGGCAAGGCCGAAAGGCACGGAGCCCACTATAAGGAACTTCTGGACAAGGCCAGGTCAGAAGTGGTGGTCACCAGCACAGCAGAGCTAAGGTTGCTCATGCAGGAAGTCGAACAAGCAAAGAACAGGTTCTCCAACAGGTCGGGCTTCTCGCCCGTACAGAGGCAGATAGGGCAGTGGCCAAGATGCCCCACTGAGATTCTCTCAGATGACGTGCTGGACCCCACATTGGTTGCAGGAGCGATGGTGGACGACCTGGAAAGACTGCACGAGATGAGGAGAGTCGCCCAAAAGGCCTTCGTGGAAAGCAATGCACGAAGAGCGGTGCAAAGGACTCTCCAGGCAAGAGGCAGAACTACAGAAGAGTTCAAGCCTGGAGACTACGTGTATGTCTACAGGGTCCACAAACCAAGGAAGAGAAGATACGGCGGACTCCCTGAAAGGGACACAGCAAGAAACAAGCCCTGTTGGGTAGGACCCGGAACCGTGGTGATGGTGGATGGCGCAAACCTTTGGATATCGGTCTGGGGAGAGCTGTGGAAGGCCGCCAAGGAACAGTGCAGGTTGGCTACCACCACCGAAAAGGAAGGCATAGAACTGGTGGTGAAGGAATGCCAAGAGCTTGTAGATGAGTACAAGCGGGCATCAAAGAAGGCAGGATACAAGGACCTCACAGATGAACCCATCCCTGAGCTTGGAGACGAAGAAGAGGAAGACACGGCTCCCAACGCCAGAAGGGTAAGGTTCGAAGATGAAGCAGAGTACTCACCGGGTACACCGGTGAACTCCCCAGCAGGGGATGCAACAGCAGCAGAAGAACTTCAACAAGAGGTCCGCAGGGCAAGCAGAGCAACAGCAGGAACGATTGAGGAGCCAGACAGAGAAGCAACGGCAAGCAACTCGGCGAGCACGCCGAGGCACACAGCACAGCAGAGCGCGGCTGATGCCGGCGCCCACACCAGTGAGGAGGATACCTCCGGGATGGAGGAAGAAGAGCATACACCACTGCCGGTAAGTTCAGCACCCGGCAATACGGCACCTACAAGCACTGCAGCAGCATCAGCAGGAGAGGAGGAAATGATAAGGAGGTCCATCGCCATGAGCGACAGGCTCGACGGCCATCGAGCAAGAGGAGGAGCAGGACCAGTGAGAGGATGGAGGATGCAGGAGCAAAGACAAGCCCCATACCTTTGGGAAATGTATCTTGAAGCAGAAGAAGATACAGCAGACAATGATGAAGAAGAACGGCAAGGAAGGTTAGCCAACCTCTTCAAGCATGAAGCCAAGGCTCAAAAGGGAGACTATTGGACAGTGCACCTAGATGAAAACAAGCTTGTGCGGCATCACAGAAGAAAAAGGAAAGCACTGTTCCACCCGGAAAACGACCGGGATCTTCCGGTGAAGATACAAGACCTTCTAAAGACCAGGGAGACGTACATGCATTTCAAGGAGAACCTCCCAGCGGAGGAAGTCCGAGACGTCTGGACAGAAAGGAGACACGGCAAGTCTCGTCCATCCTGGTGGAAGGGAAGCACTGTATTCCATCTAAAGAGGGCCATTCCAGAAGAAGAAAGACAAGCACTGGAAGTCCTGATGATGGAAAAGAAGAGACCGGAGGAGGTGGATATGAAGAAGGAAGGTAAACAAGACCTTCAAGAGTGGAAGATGGCAGACAAGGCAGAGTGGGCTAAGATGGCAGACAGTGGAGCAGTGCGGGTACTCAGCGTGGAAGAGTCGCGCCGAGTCAAGGACCAATTGAAGCAGGAAGGCAAGATGGACCGCATACTGCCCACAAAGATCGCGCGACGCTACAAGCCGTCGGAGCAGCCAGGGCTGCCGCCCACGAAGAAGAGCAGACTCTGCTTGAGAGGCGATCTGGATCCAGACATTTTGGATCTAGAAAAGTTCGCCCCGACAGTCAACACGATGAACCTGGCAGTCATGATGCAGATAGCAGCCAACGAAAACATGACAGGCCAGATAGCAGACTTTAAGAACGCCTTCTGCCAAAGCGACCCACTCAAGAGGGAAAAAGGTAGCCTCTACTTCAGACAGCCACCAGAAGGAATAGAAGGACTTCACCCTGAGCAGATTGTGCTCATTGTGAATGGGGTCTATGGACTGGTAGACGCACCACTCCATTGGAGGAAATGCTTGACCTCCTTCCTGATGAAGATCGGGTACACACAGAGTACCCTGGACCCATGCATCTACAAGCACTATGAAGATGGCAAGCTCCAAGGCATGATTGCCATAGAGGTTGACGACCTACTGATGATGGGACACGCACCACATCTGGAGAAGCTCAAGCTGCTGAAGGAAAGATTCGTCTTCGGCAAGTGGGTCACACTCAAGGACCTTGAAGAAGGCGCAGCATTCAACGGAAGACGCCTGAAGCAGAAGCCAAATGGAGAGTTCCAGATTGACATGCAGAAGTACGTGGACGAACGACTCCACGAAGTGAAGCTGGAGAAGGGCAGAGCCAGCCAGAAGAAGGAGGAGGTGAACGAGTCTGAGAGGGCAGCATGCAGGGCGGTGTGTGGAGCCCTCAACTGGCTCAGCAAGGAGGGGCGTCCAGACGTTGCAGGACCAGCCAGTCTCTTTTCGTCAAAGCTCGCCACAATGAAGATCGAAGATGTCACGGCACTCAATGACACAGTCCGCTGCATAAAGAAGAATGCAGGGTTAACACTGAGGATACAACCACTAGTCAACATGAAGTTCAGCGTCGTTAGAGACGCATCCTTCGGCAATCAGGGCCTCCACTCACAAGGAGGACAGATGATACTGTGCCATGAGGATGGCCTACAGAACAACAAGGCAGCAAAGACTAACATCCTCTGCTGGCGAAGCGGAAGAATCCAGCGTGTGGTCAACAGCACTCTGGCGGCAGAAACTCAGAGCCTTAGCAGAGGAATAGGAGACCTTTTGTGGGTTATGGTTCTTTTTGAAGAGCTGGAGGACCCCACTTTTTCTTTGAGAAACTGGCCACAGCGTTTGAGCGGAAAAGATGTCCTTGCGATTGCCTCCAACTCCAGTTCTGAGCGTTTGAAAGGTAGCCTAGCAGTCGTAGATGCAAAGTCACTGTATGATCAGCTCTGTAAAGACAGCATAGGTGGCCAAGACAAGCGAACGGCCATAGAGATACAGATCATCAGAGAGGACCTAAATAGCATCTCTGGGAAAATGCGGTGGATCGACCACCCTGCCATGATAGCCGATGGCCTGACAAAAGTCAAGGGATCGAACGAAGCTTTGTATGAAGTGCTTAGTACAGGGGTCTTCAAGCTAACAGCTGAGGAAGACCAGTTAGAAGCGCGTAGTCATGCGAAGCTCGAAGGGCAAAGTGCCCATGATATCAGAAGGTTTGGGATCAACAAAAACCTTGGGAGCTGTGAAAGTTCATGTCATGAGAGACCACCCATTGATCCCAAACCAGCGTTTGCAGAGAAGCAAGATCCTATGGCCATCTGGCCCAATGCGTAGGGGCCCCTAGATTCTTACCTGTGCATGGCAGACCGGCCATGGACTGACTGCTGGTGTCAAAACAGAGGGAACGCCACCACTGCATTTTCCGCAATATATACATATACACCCTATGGTAAATACACATAGATTCTGAAAATGACCAATTTTTAGTGGAAACTAATCTTCCAACCCCCATCTGCCAGGGTCTATGTTAATTTACTGGAGGGTAAATTATATATATATATCACATGAGTGAATTCGATATCATTGATCATTGAACAAATAATGGCAGATATACTCATTATCACTGATATCAGTGATATAAGATTCACTGACTTTTCTGATGTTTTGTGAAGTGTTTTTTTTTCAATGGTTGATTATTCAATGACCCAGATATTGGATGATATGGCTCATTTTACGTTGCACATAGTGGACTTCAAACATATCCTGTTGATCTTTTGCTGGGTGCCCAATTTTTACCCTGGACCCACGAGTTCCGATGTGAGTACCATGGTGGCCATGGACGATCGGTTAGTCGAGGTGAGTCTGAGAAACTGGGCCTTGCAACTGCAAACCTGTACAGACGACGAAGATCAATCAGGTGGGTGTGGCGACTACTGTAACATACTGTAACATGCTGTAACTCCGGTAAAAAATTGACAAAGTATGCCCAACCACAATTTCAGAATTTTGGTCAAGTGTCGGATCTCTCATTTGGCAGATTTTCACTGAGTCTTGACATTTTTGCCAAAGCCACTTGTGCTGGAAAACTGCATAGCCTCGGGGCTTAGCTTTGCTCCGTGAGGCAGTTTTCCAGCTCAGCGGGATGCTAATTGGAGTTGCAACAGGAATGGTTTGATGAAAGTGATGCATGTTGATTGTTCATCAACGTTCATTCATGTTCTTCACTAATGTTTTTCGTTAATATGAATGTTCGCTAATGCCCAGTGGTTCCTTTTTTTCCAGGATCCTTTCCCATCGCTCCTCCATTGGCATGTTGTTTCCGCCGCACCAAGTGCTGCGTAGAAACGGCCTGGCACCGCCCAGCTCTAGCCGTTTCTGGCTGGGGATGTCATGGCTCGACTCTAGTCACCCTCAAGGGGAGGAAAAAACACTGGGGTGCACATTTTAAGGCCTCAAGGGCTGCATGGACCCCAAGATCCCAAAATCACGAAGTAATTGACCAACTCCAACGGCTGGGGAACTTCCCCAAACTTCTTTCAAGGAAACAGCAAAGGGCCAGTAACGGCAAAATGATCCCTTTCGTTGGCCAACGGGGAGATGTAAGATGTAAGATCCGACGGGAGTTGAAGGACTCTGAGCCAAAAGCTCATGCAACAAGGTGAGAGGGATGGCTTCTGCTGTGGATATTCTGAACCGGACAGAGGTTTTTGCTGGTTGAGATCCATTTTTTTGTCGATTGAATCCCAACTTTGGCTGGGTACATACGCTAACTCCAGCTTTTGTTGCCTGGTTTTGCCACAAAACCCCCCAACTTTGATTTTTGACGTGATTTTCTGTGACTTCCCAGTCCACAGTCCTCAGCCATTGGGCGGTTCGGCTGCTTTGAACCGCTGTTGGAGTGACCACTGCAGCATGAGGTGCCGGGGAACGGGGATACAGACTACGGACCTATTTGATGTTGGTCTCCATCCCAAAAAAAGTGGCTAAAGCCTTTGATTTTGGGATGCCCAATTCTGACCCAGTACCTTTTGTACGGCTGTAGACACCACAAAATCGTGAGCTGTTCAAATGCCAACATCAGCTGTGCTCCCTTGAACGAACGAATCCCCATAGTTCTGCGGGCGATGTATTTAAGCACGAAAGAATACCAGTGATATCCGTTCTGGTCAATGATCAAAATATTCCAAGATATTCCAAGTAGGATACATCAACTTATTTCCAAGACGACCATTTAATGCATCCCACAACTCAAAGAGGCGCTGCTGTTACCAGGTGCTATGGCGGATGGCGAAAGGCTCGGCATCCAGTCGAATCTGTGGGCTTTTGGATCATCATCATCGTCCAACAGCAGCTTGGGATGATAAACATTGTTTATATATGTTTATATAATGTTATAATATATATATATAAATGAATATCATCAGCTTTTAAACACGTTATATAAGCTTTTCACTTGGTGAAATCGAAAGTGACCAACCTTTGTTCATTTCAAACGTGCGAAGGACGGCAGAGACAGGTGCGGCAGTCCGGTGGGCTGATGAGGGTTGCCAAACCAGAAATGGAGGTACCATGCTATGGAGGTATGGCCGGTATGGCCGGTATGGCCGGTATGGCCAATGTATGGCCAATGTATCTGGGTAATTTTTCATTGCTTTTTCATTTGGTTGAATTTCGACCATTGGGCTGCATGAAGCCCGTATCGACCTGCCAGGTGGACACATGTTCTTTGAGCCAGTAACCCAGGCAGGGCTGGCTGCACAGCCTTTCCCATCCCAGATTTTCCTTGGAATGTGGAATCCTATTATCCTCTCTTGGTTCAAATACCTCATTTCCCAATTTCTGTTGGGTCAAGTGCCCCCAAATGGGATGGTGTCTATGGGATTGCAATCACTTGCCGAGCAGGATGCTTTGGTCCTAGACACTGATCACCTCATTTATATGGGTACAGCTTAAAATTTGGATGGTCTTTTTCGTCTATACATGTCTATACAACCAAATGTACAGCTCATTTCGGTCCCCAGTGGGATGGCATACTCATGGGACCATATTTTCGGCAAGGCCTGTGGCAGTCCGCTACATCCAGGCCGGGGCTCGAAGTCACTCTCAACTGGGTCGTGGTTAGAAATTTTCGGCCATTTTCCCCATTAAGATCCATGGGATGCTCATCGTTTTCGCCAGAGAGTACTTGGAGGGATCACCGCATGGTGAAGTGGCGATCGGAACTGGGGTTAGTTCACCTACTCCATGGGATATATGATATATATATATAATATATGTGATATATCGGATATGGTGACTAACAATGCTGCTTAACTCAGTGCTTCATATTTCTGGTCTTGGAATGCTTGACCCATCGTGCCAGGTCTCAGTGCGCAATTTGTGCCAACAGCCCTGTGCGGGTCTTCAACTGCTTGTTGAAACTGTGGCCTTTCAATATCTTTCAGTCCTGAGATGATTATCCCACTAATTGACTCATGTTGGTTGATGTTGGGATGGATGAAAACGGTTAAAACGGTTAAAACGGTTAAAACCACCAACCACTTTGTTTCAACCCTGGGAATATCTTGGATTCGACGGAAATTGAAACTGTGACTTTGGACTCCTTGGACATCCTGAGGTCCAAGTGTCCACAAAGGTGTGGGCAGTCGAAATTTCAGTTTCCCCAACCCTATTGCTGAGGGTAACTCGCAGAATTTGCACATAGCAAGCCTGAAAATACCTTTCAAGAACGAGTTGTGAATTCAGAACTGAAATACCACATCATTTTCTTCCCCGAACTTTCAAGTTGTGGTTAGATGATGTTAGATGCGACCGAACATCAGAAGGCCAAAGAAACAGCCGGCCCGGCGTTTCGGAACCCCTGGAGGCCCATTGGATCTCCTGGACCTCGCCGTGTGGGTGAAGGCGTGAGTGTATGATGGAGGGATGACTGACACATCTGTGTAGGAACAAATGGGAACATAAAGCCAACAAACACAGGGATACATAAGAGATATAAGAAAATGAGATATTTTGTTTGGCACAGATTAGGGTATCAGTCACAAACAATGCGAATTTAGTAGTGGTGGAATTGGGGATATGGGGCAGTTGCTGATGGCATTGATGATTCACAAATAATCTAGGGAACCATCAGAATGTGAGGAAGATATAGGAATATCATGTCATCAATGACTCATGCCACGCAGAAGAAATATGACTTGTGGGTTGAGGCGCTGTTCACTTTCTGAACTTCGAGGCTTGTGCTGGTGGCTCTCAGCTTTTGTTGCTTCTCAGTAAGCTGTAGTTGAAAATGTATGTGTGCAATGTTCGGGGCGACAGAAGCATTTGTGGCTCTGGGAATCTCTACAAAAAAATCTTATACTGTAACTCTACTATGACTATCACTCTTATGTGCATTGTTTCTTCTGTTTCTTCTGTTTCTTCTTCTTCTTGTAATGGTTCTGTGGGCTATTGGAGATGGTTTTGGTATTCGCCACATGCTCCGAATTTGGAATAGAGTACCCTCTGGTAAGCAACCATGGCAAACAATCCCCCATTGATCATTTTCCCATTAAAACCCTATTAAATATCATGCGGAAATATGTGGAACATCCCCAAAAGATATCTGTGGTCCCCTACGAAAAAAATTGCCCCAGACTCAGACCCATTTGGGTCCAGAACTGTCCAGGAACGCATGCCGGAGCGCGAAGGCTTCTGAGTGGTTTTGGTCTCCTTGGGTCAGCAAGTGTCCCCCCAAAGCCATTTTTTTTTGGCATTTTTTTTTGCTATAATAAATATGGAACATGTTGACTTGGCTAGATATCTGCAATAGAATCCTGACTCAAATTCTCATGAGCCATGGTTTTGTGACTGCACTTCTTGGTAGAACTGCTTTTGTTGGGAGGCATACCTCCACTGCAGTTCGGAGAGGCTCGTAAAAGCGAAGCGAAAATTGTTGCAATGGTTGTCCCTGCCATGAAAATATGTTTTTATAGATTTTTGACTTATCCCTGCATGACAGATTTTTAAGAATACAGTTTTACGTAATTTGCATCTCAAGGTCATCACTGGATTTCTGGAGCCTATCTCTCGACTTTTAGATTGGGGTCGATGTCTCTGGAGATGAAAGGCGAAAAGTCTGCAAACAGAGATCAGATTTTTCTTGATTCAGGAACCTGTAGAGGCCTTGGTGATTTTCGGTTTCCACTGTTCCACCATTATCTTCCCATGATATCCCCATATCCCAATTTTTGCGAGGCTTACACATCCCCATCTTTGGCTCCTTCAGTGCCTGGTGAGTTGGAAACTCAGGACGACTAATCATACTGCTACAATGGGATACCCTGAGTTCTTAACGCTTCGACCCTGAAAATGGATGAAATTCATGGGAATATAATGTATATATATATTATATAAGTATAGTATATATATATACAGATATGTATATATATATACACTGTATAGTATAGTATATATATATACCAAGGCTATATATATATGTATACACATAATAGGACATGTAACTTACGATATGGAAAAAACATGTTTATCATTGTAGTGGGAACAATTTTTCGATGATGAGTTTGTTTGAGTTTATTGGCCCTAAAAATTGGATGTCCAATCCAGTTGAGTTCCTTTCTGGAGTCACTAATTTGAGGATTTTTGTGGGTCAATGATTGCTTTAGGGGTCAATTATTGAAGATTCTTCTGAAGCAATTTTCTGGGACCAATTTGGTTACCATTTTTGACACAGACCCCAAGTTTGAAGAAAGTATCTTGTTGGAAACTGGGTCGGGACTGACACATCATGGACTTTCAGATTTCAAAATGAAAAGTCGCACCTGTCTATTTCCAAACGGAGAATTGTCAGAGGGAAACCACACCCAACCCAGTAATAAGTCCAATGACCGTTAGCTTGGACCGGGTCTCAGGACTGTATTGGTAGGGTCAAGTTGTGCCAGGATTCCCCGTTCATAGCTTTCCTATATACTGTCCTAGTGAATTGGCGATGGAAAATCCCCAGGTTTCATGGGAAACCATGGCCCATTTTTCGGCCATGGCTTCGCGAAATAGCGAGGCCCACCACCTTGGGTACTAGCGCGGCTGGGCGCGTGGCGGCGGCCAAACTGAGGCATTTCGGTGGATTTTAGGGTCCCAAATTTGACCTGCACCCACTTGGCAGAAACACCAGGGATGGAAGCAAGTTTTGCAGAAAGCCTCCAAGGGCCAATGGATAAGACGATGAGGTTTCCTGACTTAAATCTTCAGTGAGAGGCAAGTCTCCACAAAGATTTAATACATACAAATCATACAAGATGTTGTTAGTCCTCTTGACTTCTCATTCCTCCAGCATATCCAGCATACTGCAAGCACGTGCCGCATTTGGGCAGGGGGGGCGCAGCTCAAAAGTAGCCAAAGGCGTCTGTGAAGAGTCCTAAGAGTTGACGAAACGCCGCAACGCCATGGTGCTGTTGAGGTTGTCGTTGAAGTCACCAGGTACAGTTCTTTGGTGGATCTTCTTAAGTCAACTGCACCTGGTGGAGGGCGAAACCAAAAATCTTCGGGGAGACACAAGAGACTTCAACAAGTGTGGCGTGATCGGAAATCCTGTAAATGGCCGAAGGACCAAGATTGTTCATGGCAGAAATGCTGTGCGATGTGCTTACAGGTGGCAGGTGAGCATTCAATCTATGATACAGGATCGGCCCTGGCACTTTTGTGGTGGCACCCTGATTACACCTCAGTGGGTGCTGACTGCAGCACACTGTGCAGCAGAGGTGACCAATGTGTGTCAGCTTAAGAAACTGAGGGTGGTGTCAGGCGCGGAAATGCCGACGGTTGACAGCAGTTGCAGTTATACGAGTTGAAGAATATTTGAACAGTTGAACTGTAACCTTAAAGGTCTTAAAGGTGACGACCCTTTCAGTCTCAAGTCTCAAGTTGAAAACATGAGATGGACTTTATCAAACTCAAGTTCTCCCAAAACATGCAGCCAGTGTCTGGATCCATGAAAACCAAAGGATGCGAACGGGGGAGCCGTATCCACCGCACTCCCCTGTCCCAGAATGGGTTTAAGGGAAAATTACAACCGGAACCCCCAATCTGGTAGTAAAAACAATGGTTTCAACTAGTTTTGACTGTAGACTTTTCCAACAAAAACACTCCATTGATCTATCTTAATCTATAGGTGGTATATCCAACTTATATCCATCTATATATAGTCTGAATTTAGCTGTGATTCAACATTGACGTGTGCGCTCAAGCTGATGAACTGGGGCGCTTTCCTTTTGCAGGTTGGAGGTTTCACCAGGGAAGCCCTTTCCACCAATCTCTTTGGACTTGCCTGTCCTTTCTATTGCGGGGGGAGCAGCATTCCAGCCATCATTGCCTCCTTTCTCCTTGGACTTCTCACTGGCTGTCTTTGTCCCTTACTCATCTGGCTCTGGATTTGTGGCCATCCATCTTCCTCATCCACTTCTCCATTGCCAACTGCCATAGTCAGGTTTTCTCAACGTGCCAGGAGACGGCTAGAGGGCTATCAGCCCTCTGCCCATGAGTGAGAATCATCAGAACCTTGACAAGTTGGTCCTGGCCATCAATCGGCTTAGCCTGGCCATTGAAGGCAGTTCAGGCAGCTCCCAAGAGCGTGAGTGGAAGGTCATCAGCCCAGACGCTGGGCCTGTTGCCCCCTCGGCAACCACACCAGGAAAAGCAAGATCGGGTTTCTTTTGGTGATTACAACAGTTTTGCTGAACTTTTGCCTGAGTGCCCAGATCGTTTACTGGGGGTGTGCTCACGCCTCAAAGGAGGGTCACACACCGTTGAGTACCGAGCCAGGCGTGCCTGGGAAGCAGGCTATTGGGCCTCTCTTTGCCTGCGCAAGAAGATCAGGTGCCCTCGAGCCACCTTGCCCATTGACCTCAAGCCGGCAGTCTATATCATTGTCCAAGCTCGTGGGCTGTCAGCCCCTACGAGGGTTAGCAGAGCTTCTGACTTGGCAAGGATTACAGGAAAGTTTTGCGAGGAGACAATTTGCCACGGCTTCCCATCACTTGCCGAGGCGGAGGTGTACTGTGCGGCCCTGGGCATCACGGTGCCATGTCAGCACCAGTTTCAATGATGGACCTCAGTGTGCAGGCAGACCCTGGAGTTCCAGTCAGGGCAATTCTTTCGTGGCCACCTGGACATCAACTTTTGGTGCACCAAATCCAGGCCTATGTCGTGATGAGGAGGCCTGGAGGAGTTCTGTTGATGGTCCCAGATCAGGTCATCGATACAGAAGTCTTGATGGATCATTCAGTATCGCCAGAGGATGGGTCAGAGCCTCTTGTGGGTCCGTTCAACACCTTTTCAGTTCCACTTCTTTGCTCTTCTCCAGAGGGAGGTCTGGTAGATGCAGGGGAGGAGGTCAGGTTTTTGGCAATCGATATGAGCCTCCCAGGTATAAGCGGCCTTTTGCAGCCGTATCCAGAGGATGGAGAGGACACAGATCTGATCAACCATTTTGCCCACTTCGACTCCAGTGCGCGACCCAGCTTTCCAGAGGCTTTGGCTCAGATTCGGCAGTGGCTGGACGAGCAGGCGGTGGACAGAGCCGGCTTCTACACAGCCATGGAAGAAGAGGAGCAGATCCCCCCTACCAGTCCAAAGGCTGCCACAAAGGCAAGAGGATCCGTTCCTGGTTCTACCATGCCCGCAAAAGCAGGAGCGGCACCAAAAGCGAGGAAGCACACGGTAGCATCCCTAGCAGAACAAGTGGAGGTTCTCATGGGAGCTCTTCCAGAGATCTCAGAACAGCTGGCAGCACTTGCAAAGAGGACCGAGGAGCAGCAACAGCAGCATGGGCAGCCGCAGCAGGAGAACCCCCGGCCGAAAACAAGCAAGCAGCAGCCCCCTGGCCCCCCAGCCACTTTCAGACCTCTGGCAGGAGCCAAGGCCGCGATGCCGGTCTCTGCTTTAGTGGCAGGCCATCCATGCACAGACTTCTCCAGACTGAGTGCATTAGCAGGGCCCTCTCCCATTGCCAGACCAGCCCCAGCAAATGCCGCCCCGATACAACCGGAGCAGACCTTAGAGGAGGACGAGCCTTTCGACCCAGCCCTAATGGCAGAGGCCGACAACATTGGCTCTCCCATGGCCCAGGCATTGCTGCAGCAGGCCAAAGCCCTACAGGCCATCATGTCCCATTTCCACAGTACAAGCACAGATCCTATGTCAGACCTGTCGTCTTCTACACCCACCACGGGAATCAAGGAAAGGGAGGTCAGAATGCACAGGTATCGGAGGAGGACAGAGCAGTATGAGTCATGAGACAGGCTTGTCTTCATGGACGTCTAGCCCGGGGCATCAGCAATACAGCACAGCAGGCAACTTTTGCGAACCTGTTTCGGTTTCAGATGTGTCTTTTATGACATCCAGTTTGCGGAAGAAGCCACACCATTTTTGCATGGAAGATTCTGCTTCAGTCAATTCAGAGGCAGTCTTTGATGAATTTGATAATGCAGCCTCTGAGAAGTTTCCGGAGAAGGAGAGGCTTTCAACGTTCTCCTTCACTTTTGAGGCTTGGTGCATGTCGCTTGCGAGGAGGTGCTTGAAGTCACGTACAGGTTTCAGTTTTTTCCTCAGCAAGACCCTCTGCCTTTCAAGGGACGGGCCCATCGCCCATCCTACCGCCTTGTTCCCTCTGCCGATGCCCACAAAGAGCTTTGCAGCAGGCCCGGATAGGTCCAAGAGCAGCACAGCCAAGAGCATTGCCATTGACCGAGCTTTGCACGTCTTAGTGAGTGCTTTGAACTATATTTACTGGTCAAGAGGAATGCCGCCGTTGGATCAGATTCGGAGGCAACCCAATGAGATTCAGGCGAAGGCCATCTCCAACTTGCGGTTGCTTTTGGAGGCGTGTGACCGTGGTTCACCAATACAAGTGTCGAGCAGCGGTCGGAAGAATTTGCAGCTAGTTTGTCGGTTACAAGAACTTGCGCTGGCAGCAGAAAATTTGGGCATCCATTCCGGCCCTTATGCAGAAGTTGTTGAACATGCTGAGGTACCAGTCAACAACACCGCTTTTCCCCAGTTGCAGCCCTTCTCCAACCTTGTGCCAGAGCGTCTCAAAATCACCGGCCGCGGCCAGTGGGACGCCTCAAAGTTCATTGAGCCAGAGCTTTACATGGCGTTTTGTGAGCCCCAGGTCATTGAGCTAGAGCAGCCCATTTTTGACCGAGGCATCCCCAACTTTGAGGTTGATAGCCCTTCGACAGTTCTGGAGCTTTTTGAGAAATGGGACAAGCTTGGACTTTTGGAGTTGCATCCGCCGAGCTCCATCATGACCGGCCAGACTGGCCGTGTCAATCTTCAATGCGTTCAAGGCGGTGGATTGTGACCGCCAGATTGGAGACAGGAGGGAAAGAAACAGCTGGGAAGGCAGAATCCCGGGACCATCAGCAGCACTACCTATAGGGTCTTTGATAGGTCGCCTATGCATTCCTCCAGGTCACGGGGTGAGACTGTGTGTCACAGACAGGTCAGACTATTACCATCAGGTTTCAGTGTCCTACGAGAGGAGCCGCACAAACATTGTCTGGCCCCCCATGCCCTTGCAGAACTTTGTCAAGTTTGAGGCTTACAAGAGGTATGTTCAGCGGGCCAACCAGAGCAAGAAGGCCATTGACAGGACAGTCCATGGAGATATGTTGAACGGCCACAGACCCGACAGCATGCCCTTGGACGTGTGGCAAAAGAGGACCCTTCAGGATGCTGATGATTTTGGGGATGAAGAGCACCATGAAGATGTTTTTGGTGAGGCCCAGAAACAACCAGGCCCCAGCCGACCTTTGGCTCAACGCTTCGACTTCATTGAAGTGTGTGGTGGCTCGGGCGTCATTTCCGAGGAGATGAATGCTTTGGGCTATGTGGTTGGGCCTATCATTGACATCACCTACTCAGCCCAATACGATTTGATTGATGTCAGAACGTTGGAGTGGCTCATGTTTTTGGTGCAGAATCGCAGAGTGAGAGCACTTGCTTTGGAACCACCCTGCACTACGTTCTCTGCAGCTGCCTACCCTGCCTGTCGAAGTTATCAACAGCCCAGAGGTTGGAACCAGAAGAGCAGAAAAGTTTGGCTTGGCAATCGATTGGCTTTTGCCTGTCTCAGCCTGATACTTGTAGCAGCGCATAGCATGGTCCTGGCTTTGCTGGAAACGCCGCGCCGCTCCAAGATGGGTTGGTTGAAGGAGTGGCTGTATCTTTTGTCTTTGCCGAATGTGGAAGAGAACTTCACAGCTTCCTGCTCCTTTGGCTCACCTTACCAGAAGGAGTCCAAGTTCCTTACATGCAACATGCGGGCGAGAGGGATTTGCAAACCGTGCACAAGAGACCATGAGCATGTCAGAATCCAAGGCCAGCTCACAAAGGGCAGTGCTGTCTATTGCAAGGGTCTGGCCATAGCTCTGGCAAACCTCTTCCATGTGCACTTGCAGATTGAGGAGAAATTTTTGCAGAAGCATGAGATAGCAGCAGAAGGTTTGGAGAGTGTTTTTGTGAATGAGGTCATGAAGCGGCAGGCTTGGAAAGTTGGATCAGCATGGAGATGGACAGGGAAATCACACATAAATGTTTTGGAGATGGCGAGCGTTTTTCAAGCAATCAAGACAGCAGCAAGACGAGGAGGTGGAAGGGTCTGTCTTTTGGTGGACTCAAATGTGGTTGTGAGGTCAGTTGCAAAAGGAAGATCCTCCTCAAAGGCACTTGCCTCTCTCTTGCGGAAGATCATGGCAGTTTCCTTGGCCTTTGGAATCTTCATTGCGATTCTTTTTGTTCCAACCCGCCTCAACGTTGCTGATGATCCAACACGCTCTGCTCCTCTCCGAGATCCCCTCCGGGGCAAGACTTTCCTGGCTGACCTTGACTCCGATGGACTTTTCAAGCTGGCAGAGCTTCCCAGGCTCAGACGTTGGATTTCAAATTGGACTTCACTTTTCCTGGGGCTCTGCTCTCTCCATGCCATCCCTCATGCTGCTCTCTCCATTTCCAATCCCCGCTTCAGATCCAGCCTGCCTCCTGTGGATTTTTACCAGCATCTTTTGGAATTTGATGCAACCCTGGGTTACCCTGGTGAAGGTCCTCATGTAGCAGTAGCAGGTAGGTTTTGGATTTTGATTTTCGCTCTCTGCGTAGTTAGCTGCCATGGAATGCTCCCGCGGCATCGTGATGATCAGCGCCGTGCCAGTCTCAGGGGAGAGAAGCCTTTGTTTTCTGGCAGGCCAGTGCAGGTTCTGACAAGGACGAACAGAGACAAGCTGCTGGACCAATTCAAGGCATGGCTTACAGCGAGGGGTGATAACCTCCAAGAAATTCTGGCGGGTGCGTATGTCAACCCAGAGACCATTGTGGCAAAACTGGTCAGCTATGGACAAGAGCTTTATGCCTCAGGGAGGCCATACAGCCACTTCTCAGAAACAATTAACGCCATAGCTGCTGCCAAGCCCACCATCAGGAGAATGCTGACTGGTGCGTGGGACCTGGCTTTCAGTTGGCTGCGTGAGGAGCCTGGGGAGCATCATACGGCATGCCCGTTCCAGATCATGCTTGCGCTCTTGAGCGTCAGCATCCTCTGGGGTTGGCCTCTTGTTGGGGGCATCATTGCACTGACATGGGGTGCAGTTTGCCGCATTGGTGAGGTGCTGCAAGCCTATCGCAGGGACTTGGTGCTACCAGCTGACGTTGGCTTCACTTCGACGTCAGTTTTTCTGCGAGTGCGAGAGCCTAAAACAAGGTATAGAGCTGCAAAACATCAAGTTGCACGACTGGATTATGCGGATCTGGTCGAGATGGTCAGCTTGGTTTTTTCAGATATGAAGCCGGGGGAGCGCCTCTGGCCTTTTTCTGCGCAGCTTTTGAGGACCAGGTTCAAACAACTCCTGGGAGCACTGGGTTTGACAAATGAAAGAAGAGGCTCTGAGCGTCCCCTAGACTTGGGGTCGCTCCGTGCAGGTGGGGCGACGTTTCTCATGATGGTGAGCGAAGATGCAGAGCTGGTTAGAAGAAGGGGTAGGTGGTTAGCTTTCAGGACAATGGACATATACATCCAAGAATGCTCTGCCACTGTTTACTTCCCGAATCTTCCCAGTAAAGTGAAAGACAAGATCCTCGAGCTGGCTACGTCTTTTCCTGCATTGCTCAGTACCATCAAGAACTTGAAGCGTATCCATGTCCCTCCTACTGCATGGCATGTCCTTTTTCAGAAGTCAACTGATGGGAAAGACAGGTACAAAACTCCTGGGGAGAAGGCAAGAAGCAAAGATGCTTCTAGCAGCAGAGAACAAACCAAGGAATGGCAGAGGAAAACGGCAGATGAGCAGCTGAATTTAGCTGTGATTCAACATTGACGTGTGCGCTCAAGCTGCCCTCCCAACCCTCCCTGGGGGTACAAAACTCCTGGGGAGAAGGCAAGAAGCAAAGATGCTTCTAGCAGCAGAGAACAAACCAAGGAATGGCAGAGGAAAACGGCAGATGAGCAGCTATATAGTCTATATCCATCATCCCCATGGCCAGGGCTTTGTTTAATCGGTATCATCCATCAACTTTCATCGCCGGAGGAGATTGGAAAAGGGATTTGAACAGTGCCGTGACCCGTCGCGTGAAGAAGATCTATAGCAACCCGAGTTACAACGTGCAGGTCCCGGCCGGTTCTCCCCGTTGGTCCAAAATTGAAGGGGCGTACAGACTAAGCTGGTCATCACCAATGCCCTGCCCCATCCGCAATTAGGCTGCCCCTGTTTTGCATCGCTAGTCGCTTCTTCTATAGTTCACAGTATGTTTACATGCCTACAGTGCCATGGCGCCCTCGTTTTTTTCCAGGTTGAGTCGGATAGCGACTTCGCGCTGATTGAGTTGGATGCTCCGATGCCCATCACCGAGTGCATCGGCCCCGCCTGTTTGCCCAGTGCCAACGACCCCACCGACCGCACAGGCAGCGAGTGCATCATCACCGGCTGGGGCACGGTGTCGTCCTCAGGGCCCCTGCCCGATAGCCTGCAGGAGGCGGCGGTGACTGTGCTGAATGACACGGCTTGTGTCAAGGCCTACGCCAAGCAGAATGACACCGCCACTTGGATGGTTTTGGATGTTTCATGTCTTTTTTTTTAATGTTGGGGAAAATTGGAAGATTGCATGGAAACCAGGTGGGAGATGAAATTCTTGAAAGTTGTACCAGATTGATGATAAAGAGCTATCTATCATAGTCATCTTTATCTGTTTCCAACCTCAGAGGTCATTTTTTTTGGTTCAACAAAAAAAGTTGGGATGGCAGATTTTGCACAACAGGTCACTGACACCATGTTCTGTGCCACGGGGACCTCCGCCCACGGCATCACCGATACCTGCCAGGGGGACAGTGGTGGCCCCTTGGTCTGCGAAGAGAATGGTCATTTCGTGGTGCGTGGCGTCACCAGCTGGGGCGAGGGATGTGGCATGGAAGGCTTTCCAGGGGTCTATGCCCGGGTGACTTCTGCCCTCGATTGGATCCACGATGTCATGGATGGCAAGGTGAAGCAATCGGATTTTGAGCCCGACAATGTGGACTATGGGGGTGCCATGTGGAAAGTGGTCGATGGAGACTGCGTGATGGATGAGAAGCATTGCATCATGAGCCCAGGCTTTCCCAAGAACTACACTTCTGCAGATTTTTGCCGCATTGCTGTGAATGACTCAGTAGCTGTGCCAATAGTTGTGGAGAAATTCGACACCGAGATGAACTATGACTCTCTGATCGTGACTTGGCGTTGATGGCCACATCATGGAAGCTGGTAGCCAGATTCACAGTTTATCGCGGGTTTGCCATTATCATTAATGTGTTATGGTTTGAAACAGTGGTTCACCCAGCACCACAGAGATCATAGATCAACATGGACCCACTGAAAGGTGTCTTCAGATCATGGCTGTTGACGCTGATCCCCATGGTGATCTCAACGGCGAAATTCATGGTTGAAACATGTTGAAACCGGCTGATTTTGCCCTAAAGGTAGGAGGGTTTCTGTACAATTCCTGTTCATCCAACTGATTGTTTTGGTACGGGGATTTTAACATATTTTAACAACCCCACATGATGGTTACCGTGGTTACCCAGTTCCAACATGATGTCATCCCTCACAGGTGAATTGTGAATCGTATTCGGGTACTCGAAGTCCCCTTGGCGTTGTCCCGGAGTCCGACATCTATTGGACCTCGGATGGAAGTCTCACGAGTGCCGGTTGGAAGCTGTGTCCTGGGAAGAAATGACTGACAGCCATGACTTCGTAGAAGGCCAAGTTCTGTTCGAAACTGTAGGACTGTAGGAATATGATATGATTGGGGCCAGTTGGGATGAAGATTACTGTACTGAATGAATTGTTGTTATGTATGGGAAACTGAATTTGGTGCTGGTCTGGATCAAGGTACACTTAGTGTACGCCACACATTGAAGGAATTGGCCTGAGAACAGAAGGGTTCGTTTCCTCTTTTTATGACCTTAGCCATGCAAAGATTCAGCCAGGGTCAAGGAACTAATTAATTATATAGCTGAGCTCGTTTGCTTCAGCTGGTGCCCATCAGCTCAGCTGGTGCAGCCAGTTAGTCGACCAGCTCAAGTTTCACAATCCTGGGGCTATCCACAGTGACTTGCCTATCTTACCGAATTCGATCTCTGCGGCTCTCCTTAAGACTTTTGATTGTACAGTCTTTCGAGGCCTTTGAGCTTTGTACAGAGAGTGCAGTGCCAGGCAGGCAGGGCAGCCCGGCAGACATTCTGGATCCGCGTTTGAACAAACAGGTCGCAGCCGGCGATGGATGCGATGGATGCGATGGATGCGATGGATGCGATGGATGGGGGATCTGACTTGGGTCACATGGCAGGATTGAGCAGCCCCTTGGGCAAGGCGCGGGAAACCGGGACGGAAGCTGGGATTGGAAAAAAATGCGGTGGTGATGGTGGTCTTCCTTTTCATCAGGAATTTTCTTCAAAGTTTGTCATAGGTTGTCATGTCCATGGCAAATCAATGCAAGTGCAGGAAGTGCAGGAAGTGCAGGAAGTGCAGGGCAATGTATCTGGGAAATTCATGGGAACTGATTGGGTCGCAGCTGTTTAGCCATCGCAGCCATGGTGCGTCAGCTGCTGGCGTTGCTTTCTGGCTGTGCCTGGGGTGAGCTGCATCGCGTTGTGGGCTCGGGCCTTGGTGCCTGGACCCAGTGCGGGGTGAAGGGCCGGGAACGGCAGAGGATCGTGAATGGCCAGGATGCTGGGGAATGCGTTTGGAGATGGCAGGCTGGATGGAGATGGGAACTTGATGGAACTTGAGGTCAACTTGAGGCTTTTGAGATTTTGGATAGGGCCAAGCTGTAGATTCAGATGGAATCTCCAGCATTTTGATATTTCAAGATATTTCAAGGTCCCACTTTCCTCATTTTGCGGTGCCAGGCGAGCATCAATACCGATCGGTACGGTCAATTCTGCGGCGCCACGTTGATCACTTCAGACTGGATCCTGACAGCAGCTCACTGCGTAAAAGATGTTCATAGCCCATGCGCAGTGCAGAGCCTGAGGATAGGTGTTGGGGCTTATTCAAGGAGCCTGCGCGAGCCTTGGCATGACTAGGGGACTGTGGGACCAACAGCAACGGCTTCTGAACATATGTGTGCTTTGATCTGATTTGGGCATAAAAACGAGCCCAGATGAATGGAGAGCCCTCTTTTCTCTTGCTGTTTTTCAATGGGTTGCTCTGTAGACCCTCCACCCTTCCATATCTTCATATATCACAACTTCCAGATTCCGATAAAAATTGTCCCAAGTGAGGAGTTGGCCAATGACGAGCATTCCGTGGAGCGGAGGGTGCAGGGGATCTACATACATCCGCTCTATCAGAAGAACGTGAACCATGACTACGACTTTGCTCTCATCAGGCTGGACAAAGCCGTGCCCATCAACAGATGCTTGGCTGACCTGCTGACATCTTGGGAAGAGGTAGCCAAAAGAAGTTGCCCGAGAGAATGGTGACCACCATGTTCTGTTTTTGTGTTTTAGGACATCTGCAAATGTATTCAACATCAGCTTGGAATGGAAATTGACCAGTTCAGTCTCGAGTTCTTCTTCCTTGTCCAGTAGTCGCTGAATTGAGGATGTATTGGTGTAGCGTGCTTGCCCACAGACGCGCACGTCGGAAGCAATTGCACCATCACGGGCTGGGGCACTTTGCATTCGCAAGGTGGACAACCTGAAGTGTTGCAACAGGCACTGGGATGATGAGATTTCGGAAACTTAGTGCATGGTTGGTGGATGAATAAACGACGACTTGGAAGCCACTGACACAGAATGGGCCATGGGATGTGCTATTTCCCCACCAATCATCTTCCTTCATACTATCAGTTACTATCAGTTACTATCAAGGCTTCAAGGGATCATTCCAGCATTGTTCCAACTTTTTCCCCTGTGGCACCTGGAATACAGCAGGGGAAGTGCGGAAGTGCAGGTAGCTGAAGGACAGCGATCCAACCTAATGGGCGTTTCTCAAAATTGGGGGTACCCCACAAGTGCAATTTCCAACATTTTGGTCAACCGCGGGATTTTTGGCTTCAAATTTCGAGACAAGCCTATATCGTGCCAATATGTGCCAATATCTTGAACTTGCATGTGGGCTTCGAGTTTGCTAGACATTTGCCGTTCGCAATGACCACCGTTCGCAGGCTCCGGTGGAGTTTGTCAATAGAAAGAGCTGCGAAGAGAATTACACCGCCACCAAAGATACCATCACTGCCTCCATGATGTGTGCTGCCGGCCGTTCCAAAGGTGGCATCACGGACTCATGTCAAGGTGACAGTGGAGGCGACGCCAAGCCGGAAAGATCAAAGGTTACCACACTTCAAATTGTCTGGCTTTTGCATACCTTCACTGCCTTCACTCTGATCCAAAATTGAAAAAACCTGAAGCAACGACCTCTGTCAGCCTAGACTTTCGGACATTTTTTGAAAAAGAATTCTACCGCAAGTCCATCCAAATTCTATGGTGATATGGTGAATCATCATTTCCCCATATCCATTGCTCATTGAAAAATGTACAACTCGCCATGTGTAATTTCACCAATTTCAGACATCCAAATTTTCTGAAACCTCCAAGCACCTCGAGTTAAACATCCAAAAACACCTCCCAGAAACACGTCGTGAGGTCCCTTGGTGTGCCAACAGGGCGACGGTCGCTACTCAGTGCAGGGGGTGACTTCGTGGGGCCAGGGCTGTGGCCTGCCGAACTTCCCAGGGGTCTACGCGCGGGTGGCCAGCAGCCTGGCGTGGATCGAAGATGTTTTGGAAGGAAAGGTGAAGCCCAAAGCGGTGGCCCATGAGGAGCGACATTGGGAGGATTTTCAGCAATCCAGGATTCACCCGACTCATGATATCTATATAATGTATCTGTACATATATATATATGATAATACTGATATGTAATGTGAGGAAATGGCATTTTGAGATGCGATTTGAATATGTATGATTAATTATGATGTATTATATCTATATGATTGTATATCATGCATAGCTTGTGGACTGACCTAGAAAGTTGATCCCCTTAGTATCTGCAGTCCTGGATGAAAATATTCAGATGGGACGAAGGATTGGTTCATCAACAACAAACAAGGATGGTTTGTAGCTTCTTAGCCAGCAAAAATGGTTGTTTAGCAGGTCCTAAGCAACAACATGATGTTACAGTCATGTCAACTCTTGTTGATCAGGATACCAGGGTAGCCAATGACATCACTTTTTGGGGGTATCTATCCACAGTTAACAAATGGATAGTTGGGATGGGTATGGAAGGAGCAGATGTTGGAATGGGGGTTGCAATAGATGGGATGAGTTTAGAAGAATTGAAGGGGCGAAACTGCAAAAATCGTACCTGCAAACAAAGGAACAAAGGTTGGGTTGAAGGAAAGTCACGATGAGCAATTTTGGATGAGCTGCTGGATTTGCATTTGAATTTGGATGGTTCAAAACTCAAAAGCGTTAAACTTTTGTGGATTTGAAAAACAGCTGCTGGGTGTTTGAGAATTCAAACAACGGAAAAAAGGTGGCCACGTTGATCTCCTTCGAACATCCCCTTAGTTCCTGCGTACAGGGTGCTCCGAATAACAGGGTGTTTCGAACATCATTTTTTCCTCAGAAATTGCCGTTGTGGCGCTGTGGCGGTTGTGGCCGTTATACCTTTGATTTCTCGAGGACGAGGTCAAGGTGAACTTCAAAGGTCAGGTCTTTGTTGTCCTCACTGGGGATTGCACGGTCGATGAAGATGGCTGTGTGAGCAGCCCGGGATACGACTCTGGCGCCTATGGCAACAACGAACGCTGCCGCATTGCGGTGAACGCTGCAGTAGCCACACCGTTGCGGGTGGAGAATTTCTCCACTGAGGTGTGCTGGGGTTTGGGGTGTCACATAGCTGGCTATTTGCAACTAAAGAAATGGGACCATCATCCCCAACGACCTCTATATATAATATACATACACTGATATATATATATATACATTGTTATATATATTATTATATACATATTGATATGTATATATATATATACATTGTTATATATATAATTATATAGATATATAATTGTTATAATATATATATACATACATGTATATTATGTGTATTGATAGATAGATCGATAGATGGATGGATGGATGGATGGATGGATAGATATATACGTGTATTGATATATATATATAATACACACATTTACTGTACAATATATATATATACATATATTATTAAATATATATACATTAATATATATATATATTTATGTATGTATGTATATATATATATTATACATACAAATGTAGTCTGTAAATATACACATATCTGGGATGGGTGGGCTCAACTACCAGTCGGTTTTTAGTGTGGCTTTGGTCATGCAAGGATCAAGGTAAATTCATCCAGTGGGACATCGCCAGGCTGGCTACGATTCGGTGGTGGTGAACTGTCGCCGCTATTCAGGTTCCAAGGGTCCTAGCGGAGTGATCCCCAGCTCAAGTATTTTGTGGTCCACAGATTCCAGTACAGTGGACGAGGGTTGGAAGTTGTGTCCTTCCTAAATCGTTGAAACCTGGGTTGAGCAGCTTGGCGGGGCCAAATTTCTAGGTCCTTTGCAGAGGTGCTCAGCCCCATCTAATTAAATGTTCGCGGACAGCGACCACGCCGACACGTGGTGACCCGCAAATGGCGATGTCACGTAGCGTGCGGATTTCAGGGGTTGGCTGGCGCGGACCTGCCTTCTGCCCGTCTTTTTGAACGTTCCAAGTTGCATTTTTTTGTTTTCCCCAAAGGACCAGAAAGTGTCGTTGGAAAAAAATGCATCAAATTCGTTGAGCGCAAGCGCGGTCTTGCCGTTGCCGCGAAAAGACTGCGGCTTCATTGTAAAGTTGGATCCCGTCTGACTTGGGGGATTCGTATAGGCCCAAGACCGATGGGTACCCAGCCAATAGCAGGGGTTTTTGTACCCAGAGCTACCAACAAAACACATGCAACTGTGATGTAACCGAGAAATCAAAGGATTTTTTTGACCATTTTGACCTGGGTATAAGGGCCGCTGATAGAGGAGTTTGAGCTCAAACTGCACGACTAAGCGTTCAAAAAGTTGGGTTCTGACTCGCTTGGTACCGCAGCCACTGCGTCACAAGTGGGTTGGGTGAATGGTATGCAAGGTGGATAGGGTAGAGTGGTAGCTATGCCCTGCTTAAACCTCTACCAGGCTTGGGTTTGGCCAGTGCCTGGAACGAGAGGACTGCCACGGGATTGAGTGGCAAGCTTCTAAGCTTCTACCGGATGTCGCCAGACTGGATGTTTCAATATTACAAACAATAGCCATCAATAGCCAACTTGGATCAACTACATAGTTCTTGAGAAGACGTCCCGTGGCATTACCGTGGCATTGTAAGATCGGCTTCCAGGGTGGCTGTGTTTGCATTTGTATCCCTTTTTTCCCCGGAGCCCTTCTGCTGAAAGCCCGTTCTTCGCGAAGCTAGAATAAAGCTCCTTGCCCTACTTCCCGCACAGCCATGTTTGACGGAGAGTTGGGCGTACCTTGGCGGACAGCCCCCCGGTAGTGCCTTCAAGATGGCTCAGTTCTAGCGCCCCTGTTTGGAAAAGATCCTTCAATATCCAGCGAGTTTGTGTTGTCAGACTTGGCTTTGACCAAAAAATGAGAGGACACGTCCATCATCGGGAATAAAGACACGTGTGTGTGTATATATATATATGTATATATATATATACACATTTCACGTGGTAAACCCAACAATAAACCTACCATTTGGGGATGATTTTTATCACCCATAAAATAGCTTTATGGCATTGGGTTTACCACATGAAATACTTAGAGAAATAAATGTTTCCAGACTTTGTGGAGAAGATTTTCACCGCAAGGCAGAGTCTTGGGCTGCCACTGGTGATGTGGTGATCAGCAAAACCTTCCTTGATGTCCGAGTGGATGCCACTGGGCCGAGAATTTCTGTAGAAAAAGTTGATCCGAAAAGGGGCAAGATTGCCGGTGGAACACATAATATCCTGTATACATATTATATATATACAGTGTATTGTCTAATCACGAAAAGCCGTTGTTATTAAATATATATATATATACACATGTATATATATATACACTAAAATATATATAAATGTATATATATAAATGTATATATATATATGTAAATATTTGTATGTATATATGTGTATATAAAGTTGTCGAGATGTTGCTGGTGTTGGCCATGTGGCTGGTGGAAGTGCTGGTTGTGGTGGTATGTTGCCTGGAAGGGGTGTTCCCCTTTTGACTTTGAACCATGTTTCTCCTGTCCAGTTGTGTCCTTGGATGACTCTCTTCTGTTGCTTCTTGTCAAAGTCTTGATAATTCTTCGATGACCTCTGTGTTATTGTTTGGTCGTTGTATGACTGTCCTTCTATAGTTCTCCAATCTTCCTGTTGGAACTGGACATCTGCTGTCTGGCATGAAAAGTGCCTTGCGTTGTGTTCTGTGGACTCTTACCAGGAACCCTTGGCTGTTGAATGTCCACAGATCGTTCTTGTTTCGAAGGATCTCCATGCCTGTCGGTGTGAGTGTAACCGGTGCTATTTTTGCTGTTGTTCCTTCTGTTGTTGGGTTGACTTCAAGCTCATGTTGGCTGGAAGTGTTACCAGTGTAACTGGCAAGAAGTAGAGGCCTTCACGTTGTCTCAGTGCTGAGTTGAATCCCTTGCTGTGTGTGATTGTTGGTGTTTCGTTGGGTCATGTGTTGAACCCTTGTTCTGCCAGTCTTGTCACTGACATGATGGGTTGTGTCACATCACACACATAGAAGGGAACAACCAGTGTTTGCTTGTTGGTGTTGTGCATCTACATTCATTTATAGCCATACACGGGGATGTCTTCATCTGTTGCTGTCCTGAGTTTCGGACCTTGTCCTTGCAGTGGATACAGTGGTGTGTCTGGTGCAAACCATGTTGGACAAACGTGTGTTGCTGCACCACTGTCGATCATGATCTCTGCCTCTATGTCTCCTCTTTGTTGTTGAACTGCTTGCATATTTGCCGTTGCTTCCTTGTGGGCACTCGCTGCCTGGTGGCCCAGTGTTGCCACAAGTTGGATTGATGGTGTTTGATTGTCTGTTGATGGTGCTGGCAAAGCTAGTTGTTGTTGTTGGACTGGATGAGGGTTGTAGTTGCCTGATTGGTCGTTGCTGTACCAATAGTTGTCATACCCATTGTTTGAGTCATACCATTGTGCTGTTCCATCTAGGTTTTGTTCCTGCGGTGTCCCTGACATGTTGTACACCGCTGTTCGGCAATCCTTTGCCATGTGGCCTGGTTGGCCACATCTGTAGCACGCTGCTGTTGGATTCTTCCCTTTTCCTTTGTTACGCATTCCTTTTGCCTTTCCTTTGTTGCCTTTGTCTCCTCCTTTCGGTTGGTACCATTGCTGCTGTTTTCCTTTGGCCTTTCCTTTGTTGTATGAGCCGTAGCCTCCGTAGCCTTTTCCTTGTTGGTATCCTTTTCCTTTGTTGCCCTTACCATATCCTTTTCCTTTGTTCTTTCCTTTTCCTTTTCCTTTGCCTTTGTATGCTGCTCCAATGTCCATTGGAGCTGGTCCTCCTCCAAGGTTTGTGCTGACTGCTGAGGACGAGTGTTGTTGGAGCCTTGAGAACGCTGTTGTGGTTCTGTAATACTCCATGATTGTTGTCCTCACTTCTGCATATGTGGGTGTTGCGCTTGCGTTGAGATGTAAGTGTTGTTGAAGTGGTCCTGTTGTCTCATTCATGAGAACAGCTATCTTTGCTTGGTCTGGAAGGTGTGCATTGTTGTCACGCTCATAGCGTGCCAGCTCAAATCCCCTGTTGAGAAGGACTCTTCGAAGTTGTTTTGGTCGAATTTTGGTTTGAGGAGTCGTGTGAGGTAGCCTATGCTTCTTGTTTCAACAGGTATTGCAAACCTGTTGCAAAGTTGACTTCTAGGCCCATGGCGTCTTGGCGTTGTCTGCAAACTGTTGCTGCTGGGCCGCTGGTGATGTTGATGAGGATGTATTTGAGGTTGTTACATAGTTGTGTCCATTTCTCTCCTTCTTCAATTGTTGTTGCTGCACCAAGCAGCTCTGCGTCTGTGAGCACTGTTGTTGCTCTTTCTGCTCTCGATAGCAGTTGTGGAAAGATGTTGTCTTGTAGGCCCATGTATGCTGAGAACTTATACTTCCACTCTTCAAATGTTGCATAGCGTCCAGCGTCCATCGTATGTTGGAGGTTTCAACTTCAGTCTGTGTGTTGATGCTAGGGCGTCCACTTCTGGTGCTTCTGCTGTTGGCGATCCTATGTCATGTGCCGTTGCCATCCTTGTTGTCGAGAGTCCCCCACGCTATGTTTGGCTGGGATCAAGCCCTCTTCCTTTGCGCTTGTTGTTTGAGTGTTAGTTTGTTGGGCTGCTACCCAGTGTTGCTCCTGTTGTGGTTGTTGGAGCTCACCTGGATGCTTCCAGGATCACTGCTCCGCTGCCATGTGAAAACCAAGGCAGCTGATGTTGACACTCTGTTGCAGCTGTTGCTGTACGCGCCTTTTGTACTGTTGGCACGCAAAGGTAGGCCAGGCTCAAGGCCTAGTTGATCCAAGATGTTGAACGGATGGACACTGGCACAACTGTGTTGGGACAGGGTGTTAATTCTTAACATATTACATATATATGTATTAAGAGGTCCCTTGGCCTCTTTAAATGGTATTTCTGTCAATTTGGCAGAACTGTTTCTAAAACTTCAAGGACTATTTCTAAATGTGTTCAGGACCATTCCTAAAATATGTATATATATATATAAATATACCCTAATATGACTTATATAACTTTATATCACTAAATGAGATTCCCTAGACACTGAGATATGATCACATCAGGCTGCGGCCTTTTTTTTGCCCAACTGCGCATGGTAAATCCCACAGTGTTCACACTGTGGCAAGAAGCCAAAATGAGCCCACCATATCGAATTTACAGGATCTTAAGAAAGGAGTCATTTCCCAAACTGATTTTCAGAAATTCAAATTGAAGATGGCTGAATTTATTTCCCAATCAATTCATGGTGGTCTCCGCCTCCACCCTACCTACATCTACACACCCCATTTTTTGGCTCTGTTGGCCTGACCATCCTTTTTCTCTTTTTTCTCAGTCTTCCGCTTCTTGGCAGCCACGGGTTTCTCCGTCTTCTCATCTTTGGAGGCTTTTTGAAGCCACTCATCCACCTTCCCAGCCAAGAGCTTTGGAAGATCCTGCTTCCCCATGCCAAAGCCGGCCATGTACTTGACAGCTGTGGCATAGAAGCCTGGGTGAGCTGACATGCCACCAGAACGTGGTCCCCAATGTATACAAATGTCAAATGGGGTGTGTTGTATGTGATGGTATGCAAATGAAAACATGAAGTGATGCACCCATACTGTGATGTCGCGCAAAAGTGATATCATATCACCAAGGTCGCATCAAACCATCAGATCTTGTGCTTTTCACAAATTCCAACACGCGCTCGGCGCGCTCGTCCACCAAACTCAAACTGCCACGAGCGCGCCGAGCGCGTGTTAGTGTTTCACGAAAAGCAAACAAGCCCAAAAGCAAGTCTTAACTTCAAAGGATCATTGCAACATCCAAACTTGTCTCTGCCTCCTGCTTTCTATACAAACCCTAACGCGCGCTCGGCGCGCTCGGCGCGCTCGTCCATACAGCTTAAAACCAAAACCTGAAACATTACCCTGCAAAAGGAAAGTATTGCAGAGATGCTTTGAAGTTCAGAACATAATATTGCTTTACAATGCTTTACACCTGTTTTGCTTTTCCACAAACCCTAACACGCGCTCAGTGCGCTCGGCCAAAACAAACCCTAGCACGCGCTCAGCGCGCTCGGCCAAAACAAACCCTATAACATCCCTAACACGCGCTCAGCGCGCTCGTCCACCTAACCCCAAAACCCTAAGCTTTCTTGTTGCATATTTTACATAACTAGAGTGTTGCAAAGCTTGCTTTTTGCATATTTTACATAACTAGAGTGTTGCAAAGACCCTTTAAAAATCAAGCTTGCTTTTGGCTTTTTACTTTTTCAGAAACCCTAACGCGCGCTCGGCGCGCTCGACCACAAACCCTAAACCCAAAACCCTAAGCTTGCTTTTGCATATTCTGCATAAGCAGAATGTTCCAGAGATCTTTTGAAGGTCAGAATGTGACTTGCTGTTGGTCTTGTGCGTTTCACAAATTCCAACACGTGCTCGGCGCGCTCGTCCACGAGCGCGCTCGGCGCGCGTTCGGCGCGCGCCGAGCGCGCCGAGCGCGCCGAGCGCGCTGAGCGCGTCGAGCGTGCGTGTTAGTGTCTCACGAAAAGCAAACAAGCCCAAAAGCAAGTCTTAACTTCAAAGGATCATTGCAACATCCAAACTTGTCTCTGCCTCCTGCTTTCTATACAAACCCTAACGCGCGCTCGGCGCGCTCGTCCATACAGCTTAAAACCAAAACCTGAAACATTACCCTGCAAAAGGAAAGTATTGCAGAGATGCTTTGAAGTTCAGAACATAATATTGCTTTACACCTGTTTTGCCTTTCCACAAACCCCAAAAAGGCGCTGAGCGAGCTCGGCCAAAATAAACCCTAGCACGCGCTCAGAGCGCTCGGCCAAAACAAACCCTAACACGCGCATTGTGCCTGCCGGCAATCCTCTGAGTGACTGACGCGCCACATCAGTAAAGCACTGCTTCGTGATAGGGTCGCCAACAGACACCTAAGCAAGCGGTTTGTGTAAACTACACCATGATGATGATGATGATGATGATGATGATGATGATGATGGCGGCAGTGATGATGAACAGGATGAACCTGGTGATACTCATGTTGATGATCAAAATGATAACAGCAGTGCCACTGTTTCATTGCTCCTTGGGGGCTGGTGATTGCTGAATCAAAAGTTCACTCGGAAACATGCGTTGTCAAGGCCCACAACTGGATTCTTTGTAAATGATGATTTGTTAAAGTATGTTATGCTATGCTCTCTTGTGCGAAGTCATCTTATGTTATGGTACCTTATGAAATTATGACTATTACTATTACGATTGCCATTACTATTGCCATTACTATTGCTATTACTATTACAGTATTACATGATAAAGAACATGTTATGATTAATGTATGTTATATACAATGCTTTGATATGATGATGATATGATATGTGATGTGAGGTAGTGAGAAGCGGCTCTGAACGGTTCAGAGCTATCTATGGGAGGTTGTTTTAGAAATAGCGCTAAACGGCTCTAAGCGGTTCAGAGCTTTGTATAAAATCAAGTAAGAAATAGCGCCAAGCGGCTCTAAACGGTTTAGTTCTATTTCTAGTTATCGCCTGCCATTTTTCCCAATTAGTCCAGAGCGGTTTAGAGCGGTTTAGAGCGGTTTCTAAATTTCATGGATTTTGGAACCGTGTTTGGGCAATGAGAGAAAGAACTAAACGGTTCAGAGCGGTTCAGAGCCATTCCTCGCAGATGTCTTTGAAACGGCTCTCAATGGTTTAGAGCGGCTTCTGGCACGTCCCAAAGTGCCTACATAAAAAATACATCAAAAACAGAAAATATAATATATAAAAATATAGTTTAAAAATATGAGAACAACAAACATAAATAATTCATCATCAATGGCTCAATGATTGATCAATAACAATAATTGACAAAGTCAACTGACAACCGGTGCCAAGAAGACGGTTGAACCAAGCCACTTCAAGTGAAGCATGGTTCAGATTCAACGCTTCAATCTCTCGGCCATTGAGGCGGAGGCCAGACAAGTCATGGTGCTTTGAAAAAACCATTGGCCCATTTGCCTTCCCCATCCTCAAATCCCGTTTTATCTTCTTCGCCGAGCTCACAATTTCAGCTCGACGTGCGCCATCCTGGCTGGTTGGGCTTTGGGAATGGTCTGGCTGGCTAATGGTTGAGAAATCTTCCTGCTCTGATTTAGAAACAGTATTGTACTGGTTTGATTTTAGAAATAGTCCTGGACTGATTTAGAAATAGTTCTGGATTGATTTAGAATTAGTTTTGTTTCTTTTTTTCTTTTACGGCCTCACGGAAGACCCAACGGCCCAACGACGGACTTGGGACAGCCCAAGAAAAGCCCCATCATAAGAACCAACTAAAGGGTTAATGAGCAATCCAGGGCCATGCGGTCATGTGCCCAACATGTCATCATCCAAAAAGGTCACATGAACTGAACAAGAAAGGCTGACTTTTGACTGGTGCCTCACAACAAATGATAGCTGGGTCATGGATCTTTGTTGCTGGCTGGCAATGACACTGGCAACTACATGGTTTACGATTGTTTCGCGGCCGTGGTAAAAATGTCCATGGTGTGAATAGAAAATAAGCACGCCGCTATAGCGAAACAATATTTTTGCACATCCAGCATGTGAAAATGCATCATCGTCGTTTCAGAAAACTACTTGTTTTATTTGCGCTGTCATCATCATAATGAGCATCATCATCATCATCATCATGATCATCATCATCATCATCATGATCATGATCATCATGATCATCATCATCATCATCACATCATCACATCATCATCATCATCATCAGCATCCTCAACACCATATAGATCGTCAACATCATATAGATCGTCAGCAGCTACAGCTAAGATATCTGGCTAACGTCCCCACCTACCCACCCGTAGCATCCACTTCATGTGCAATCATAACTACATGTTCTTGATCCCGATACAGCAGCGTAGCATGCACAGCATGGAAGGTTCCAGAGAACTTACAATAGCGTGGCACGACGTGTGAGTGGAAGATAAAAGAGAACTTACAGTAACGTAGCATGACGTATTAGTGGAAAGTTCCAGAGAACTTACAATAGCGTGGCATGACGCATGAGTGGAAAGTTCCAGAGAACTTACAACAGCGTAGCATGATGCATGAGTGGAAAGTTCGAGAGAACTTACAGTCGCGTAGCATGACGTATGCATGGAAGGTTCCAGAGAACGCACACTAGCGTGGCATGACGCATGTGTCGAAAGTTCAAGAGAACTTGCAGTCGCGTAGCATGACGTATGCATGGAAGGCCCCAGAGAACTTACAATAGCGTGGCATGACGTATATACCGTATGTATGAGTGGAAAGTTCCAGAGAACTTACAGTAGCGTAGCATGACGCATGCATGGAAGGTTCCAGAGAACGTACAGTAGCCACAGAGAAGCATGTCCGTCCTCCGCAAGTTCACATGAACGTTAATACATGCCCCACCCCAGCCCAGCCCACCCGTGCATATATTCACCTACCGGCAGCCACAGAGAAGCATTTTCTTTCTCCGCAAGTTCACATGAACGTTAATACATGCCCCACCCCACCCCACCCCAACCCAACCCTTCAGTTGCGTTGCGTGCCACTTACAAGGAACGTTAACATGCCCCACCCCACCCCAACCCTTGAAATGCATTGAAAAAGTAAAAGAAAAACCACTTCCTGCCACGGCCGTGCAGCAGTCGGTGTCCAACTACATGGTCCTATGCTATGCGCACACAAGTGGATGGGCATGCCATGCCAGGTGAAAACAAGAAAAAATACAGTACAGTACATATCCAATCTTAGTGGGCCATAGCCCATAGCTCATTAACAGAAAGTAACAATAAGTAAAGGAAAGGAAGGTACGGAATACAAAACCCGTCTGCCACTGCATTGTAACCCCGTATTCAGAAACATAGGAACTTAAGACAAAACATCATCACACAATCCTGATCGACACATTTCAAAGAGCACGCCTGAACGTCAGATCATCAACCACCAAGCAATTGCGTGAGAAAACGAGAATGAGTTGCAAGCAGTGAATGCCTACTGGACACAATTATCTTTCTAAATATGATATGACTGTAATTTGAAATTCTATATGCCCCAGGATCCTCCAGGATCTATGGATATCTTTGGGACTGATATTTGATCCTCAGATTGCAGGTTTGCTGGAGTACGATGCTTGATCTTATGGTTTAATGCCAAATTGTCCTTGCTGTTTCCAACTCGATCCACTCCAGATCAATCTTTGCGAATTTGATCACACACTTGAAATTTGTTTGCTTTCCTTTTTTGGGATTGCACCCAAGTATTTTTTGTTCTTTAATTCGAACCGCAAGCATTTTTTTCTCAGCACACCTGTCATCGCGCATGTTCTCACCGATCCATCCATATTCAGAGTGGCCAGCACTGAGTCTTCAAGTCTGTGTTTGTGAACAAGACCCGCTTTTCAATCAGAAGCTCAATGAGCTCATGCAGATCTTTGTTAGATTTTTGATCAAGTGTCAAAAACATCCCAGATCTCCAAAACACAGCCATGCTCCTTTTTGTAAGCTTATGGCCCATTGTGCAATACAGGAGCCTGTTCACTCTGCATTGGAACAGCTCATGCGCGTGGCGTTTCACCGGGTCATTGGGATACCTTATCACGCAAAACACACAACACAAACGCATTTTTTTTGCACAGTGTTTCCGAGACAAAAAAGACGCGGGCTGCAGTGGTGGCCCAAAATCCTCCAACTCTAGTGCGAAAACGTGCCATGGTGGCTGTGTCTTAGGTGGCTGTGGAGGGCCTTCCACACGACGGCCTCAGTTTGCATACTTACATACACTCATATTGTTATCACTGCACCTGCCACAAGTACACTCACAGAGACACCATGCCTTATCGCCAGACCTGCCACACAAACATTGTTCTTGCCACACCTGCCACGCGCGCGCACCAACACTAATTTTTTTAAAACATATTTTGGCCACACCTGCCACGCCCACAAGCACGCAACACTTCACATATATTCTTGCCACACCTGCCACACGCAGAATCACATATGCTCATATATTTTGGCGGCGCCTGCCACGGAGAACCACAGACACGAAAAACGAAAACAAAACAAAAAAACAAAACAACAACTTCCACAAAGTTCGGAGCAACGCTTCTTTGGAGGCTCTTCCTTGCTCATTGCACCCATTGCTATTGATATGCACGGTTCAGTTTTTTGATCTTTGGAATTGCTGCGGTTCCGAGCGACATCCACCAATAAATCCCAAACTTCGTTTGCAACACACATGGTTCTTGGAAAGCGGTTTTGTCACCATATATTCCCGAAACCAAGACATTAAAAACAACAATGGTGAATTTGCAATCTTGAAGTTGTTGTGATGTGCAAGTGGCCACATAAAATTACACTTTCTAGATTCTAGAACCAATGTGTTTTTTTACAAATAGATTTAGATATTTTAGAAATAGCTCTATATATTTTAGAAATAGCACTTTATATGTTAGAAATAGCCCTGACATGGCCACAGACAAAGAGGCCAACCGATGTCTTAATATATGTATATATACACGTACATACATATATAGTTATTATAGTTGTTCTATACATGCCAATATCCTATAATAGGACAGCCCATTAACATCCAGGAACCAGTGGATTTTTCTTGTAACATCCAGTGATATTGAGTGGAGATTCCATCATGAAGTCCGAGGATGCCAAAAGCTTGGCACGCAGGAATTCTTGGCCGTGCTTCCAGCCACCCCAGGTCGAGGCGTTTGCCAGGGTTTAAGATCTTTAGACCCTGGAAGAGCCATACTTTTTTTAAAAATGTTTTATTCTCAAACTGTTTTTAAATGCAATTTTAAGTTTTTTTGGTGGATTTTTGCATGTTCAGATATTTTCAGGTAGGAAACCGACGAACTTGGTGGATCTTCCCCTGTTGCGGGTACCTGACGGCTCGAGCGCCGAAGGCTTTCAAAGTGACAGACCTTCAAGCACTGAAGAGCGTGTGGTTTGAGGACTGCCTGATTGGCTTGTCCGAGAGAGGAAAAAAGCAACACCAACGTTTGGTGGCTTTAGAATGCAATTTTTCCCATGAAAATAGCAATTCGGGTGGTATTTTCAGACACCCAATTAGATCTGTTTGAGCTTGTGGCCTTAGGGAACCCAGTTGGCCAAGCTTGGACATCGCAGGAGCAGAAGGAGAAGTCTCTGTGACTGGGCTGCGGTTGTTTCAGATTCAGAATCCAAGGATGCTCAAATTGTTCTTCTAGGCCAAATGTTGACAAGCGAATATCTTGACGTTTTGCTGGAATCCGGCATAATGGAATCATGGCCGAGGGCTAAGAAGGAAGCCTCGCACCGAGAGGGCCGGTGCTTTCCATGTCTTTTCTTCACACGCAAAGGACGGCCGAAGGTGGTCGGGTCCCTTCGGGTCCCTTCGGGTCCCTTCGGGTCCCTTCGGGTCCCTTCGGTTCCCTTCGGTTCCCTTCGGTTCCCTTCGGTTCCCTTCGGTTCCCTTCGGTTCCCTTCGGGTCCCTTCGGGTCCCTTCGGGTCCCTTCGGGTCCCTTCGGTTCCCTTCAGGCTATGGTAGTTTGACTTGATTTAGCATTCGTCAAGGCGCACGATTTCCATGGGCTTTTTCTGTGTCAAAAACGTTGGCTGTATCAGGGTGTACCCATCTAACTTTTTCCGTACAGGTTGAGGCATTCATAGGATTCGCTCGCTGGTGCAAGTCAGTTCATAGCAGACACAGAAATATTCTTTTCTGGGCAAGCTATTGGGCTGCCCATTACAGTGTTTGGAATCCCCCCATGTCATTGGTGGTTGTGTACGTTCCCTAAACTAACATTCAACTTGACCCGAAAGTTGGAGAGTTTTGGGATGTTTTGGGTGCCTGATTTTTTCCGTGGGCGAAATGTCCCAGTTGAACTTCCCCCAACGATTTGGGTAAATCCATGACAAATCCAACCACCATATATAACCAGTTGTGATATTTTGAATTGAAATCCACTTAGATCCCATAAGCAATGCTCAAATCACCAGGAAAAACTTATAGAGTTCATAAAACTTCCCTGGATTTCGTAGGGCATTGCCCTGGTGGCGAAATTGACCCCAGGAGACGGCTGTCGTCAAGGAGACAGCTGTACACATTGCCACATTTGCACCATTGGCGAAGCACGCCGCAGGCGTGGGCATTGACGTGCTGTTGACGGGTTTTACTGTAACAAATCGGTTTTTGATAAGCCCATGATTATATTTGGTGATCATCTATGAACTATGTCATGGTAACGCCAGAAAAGCATCTGTCTCTCTTTTTTCTTTTCTCTCTGTAGTTCTGTACATACTATGAAAAGTTTCACGGCACTGTCGACACTGCTGTTGTTGTGCGCACTTTTCCTGTACTGTTGGCTAGGTTCAAGATAAAGGCAACATCTTCGCACAAGACAAACAACTTCACAACCTTCATGTTGGGGGTGTTGTTCTTAACACGGCCCCTCAAATGGATGCCATGTTGCATTCCTCTGTTTCTCACACCACTAGCATGCTGAACTGAACCACACCATCCTTCGTGCAATACTTCTAACTGAGGCGCAAAACTTCTAACTAACGGGCAATACTTCTAACTGACGGGCAATACTTCTAACTGACGTGCAAAACTTCTAACTGACGTGCAATACTTCTAACTGACGGGCAATACTTCTAACTGACGGCCAGTACTTCTAACTGACGTGCAAAACTTCTAACTGACGTGCAATACTTCTAACTGACGGGCAATACTTCTAACTGACGTGCCAAACTTCTAACTGACGTGCAATACTTCTAACTGACGTGCAAAACTTCTAACTGACGTGCAATACTTCTAACGGGCAATACTTCTAACTGACGGGCAATACTTCTAACTAACGGGCAAAACTTCTAACTGACGTGCAATACTTCTAACTAACGGGCAATACTTCTAACTGGCGGCCAATACTTCTAACTAACGGGCAATACTTCTAACTGACGTGCAATACTTCTAACTGACGGGCAATACTTCTAACTGACGTGCAAAACTTCTAACTGACGTGCAATACTTCTAACTAACGGGCAATACTTCTAACTGACGGCCAATACTTCTAACTGACGTGCAAAACTTCTAACTGTCGTGCAATACTTCTAACCGACGGGCAATACTTCTAACTGACGTGCAAAACTTCTAACTGACGTGCAATGCTTCTAACTAACGGGCAATACTTCTAACTGACGGGCAATACTTCTAACTGACGTGCAATACTTCTAACATACGTGCAATACTTCAAACTGACGCGCCGTGCGACAGCAACAAAATGTCACTTTTGTGGGACGGTAAACAGCGCGCCAGCACAAACATCCCAAACATACACATACTTGCTGGGATGTTTGGCTCCCTGGGTTGCTGGTTCATTTCCCTCGTTTTGACTGGTCCGCTTTCGGGTCAAGCCAAGGCGGAACCGCATCTCCCTGGAGATGCGCAAGGCGAAGCGTCAAGCTAGGAAGATGGATGTGGACGCATGAGGTGCACAGGGCGGTTTTGATGCTGACATCACCCCCTCTGAAAAACCCAGCAATTTCTTCGGGAATTTCACCGATGATGGATGAAACTGATGGGTCTGATGGTTTGGTGATTTCGCCAATTCATATGGGAATTTGGGAGAATTACACCGTTTGGTAATCCAACACGATGGCGATGTTCAATTCAATCGGTAAATCATCTACAAACGGGTCATGTTCCATATCTATGTCAAATTTCCAGAGGGCAAAGCACGGGGATCTCACCAAGTCATTTGAACAAGTTGAACTGCTAGCAACTTGGGATTTCACCAACAAACATTGGGATTTTACCCAACGCTGGGGGATAGCAGGGTTGCTATCGTAGAAGGATTGCCATAGTTATCATAAGGAATCTCAGCAGCGCGGCCATATATGCTATTGCACGGAAAACATATGCAATGTCATTGGCAAACACGTAGATTGTTGGCAGGATCTCCCCCAACACCTTGTGAAGCACATCTTTTTACTTAGAGATCACATGGTCCACATTGTCACTGGCTCATTGTTTGTAGGCTTATTGGAGTGTTCCCGCCCTAAAGTTCCCCCCCCCATCCCAAAAAAAAAGGAACAGAGAAGCAGATTTCGCGCCCGCAGGCTGCAAATTCTGCAGGTGTTTGAATTCAATTCTCCGATGCTTGGTTGATTTAGGGTGGCGGTCAAAGGGTGATACCTCTTTCGCTGGCTCTCTACTCATGATATCTCATCATCGCAAGTTGCAACCCATTGCATCATTGATACCTTTCCCCACCTGTGCTTCATATCGACGTGCCAAGTGATTCTATCAACTGCCATGTTCTGGGTGATTTTGCAAGTTGTTTCAATGTTTTGGCACCTTTGTTTGGAGGCTTTTGCCTTCCATGTCCAGAACTCATTCAGATCGTTGGATGGTCTTTATTGTCACCTTTCCATCTCCATGAATCTTCGTCAACTCTGGTCTTTGTCTTGAACTTTGGCTCAGTTTTTACACCATGTACTTCTTCATCACAGATCTGGTAGGGTCACAGCTCGCCTTTAATACCTAGGCTTTGTGTCCACAAACGCGGGGACGCCGGCAGAGTCCGAGCGATTCCGCGGGTTGCAGAGCGCCGTCGGCCCTTTGGTGGCCCGGACCCACCAGAGGCAGGTCAATGGGCTGAAGGCTTGGGGACCCCCAAGGTTATCCATCCGTTCTGGCTTCGCTTGTCGGAGGTACAAAGAGATGCATGCTTGGGCGGTATTTGCCGTGACACCGGTCGAATTTGCACGGCCAAACGGCGCGCATTCTTGGCATTTCCTCGGCCTTCTTTTTTGATCCTTCCATAATTCGGTTTGAAGCGGGAGCGCGGGAGGCGCGAACTGCCTCAGAGAGCAGAATCGCAGTTTTTACCAGCACACACCTAACACATTTACTGTACACATAAGCTCATTGGGTTTTGTTTTGTTTAAACTTACTGAATGTTTAATGTCTATTCACCTTTGTACTCTCCGTGCTCCTGATTTTTGCTGACTTCCAGCTGAATCGTAGAGCACCTGGCAGAGTGGAGGACTCACCGGAAAATTATCGAAGGAAGTTTAGAAGTCAAACCTCTGACTTATGGGGAGATGCAGCAACAGTTGTGAGAACAGTCAGAGAAGAGAAAGAGTCAGAGAAGAGAGGGCCAGCAGAAAGGAGATCAGAGATGGGAAACGTCAGAGAAGAGAGAGCAAGAAGAAAGAAGATCCAAGCGCGCGAAAAGGTAGAAACGTTGCGGAGCACTGTGTTCTTGATATGTTTTGTGGCTCCGGAGAGTCGAAAAGTAGGCTCGCTAAAGCGGTCGTAACGGAGCCATTTGGTCGGAAGGTTTGGAGCAGCTTTGGCAGTCGAAAAAGTGCGCACGGCTGTGGCGCAAAGCACATTCGAAGTGAAAATGTGAAAACCACCTCAGGCCCGGAGCGCTTTTGGATCAAAAAGTGCGCGTGGCTGTGATTTTGGAAGTTGCGTGCTTGAAAAAGTGCACGCGGCTGTGGCGAGAAGCACATTTCGACGTCAAACGTGTTAAAAACTGATAGTCTTGGACCATTTTTTGAAGTTTGGATGCGGTTTTGGGTGGCAAGCGCAATGGATTCTGCACCTTGCCAAAAGTGAGCAAAATGTAAGACTTCGTAAGAGTTGCAAAAACGGCAGGCGTGGGACCCTGAAGAGAATCTGCAAAGAGGCAGGCACAGTACAAGAGACATCTCCATCAGAGATGTTAGGAGGTCAGGGCGGCATTCTTCTCCAACGCTGCGGGAATTGAAGAACAAGCGCTGTTTTTGTGGGCACAAAGAGCACACACCCGCATCAGCTCGAGCCCAGACTCTGGTGGGTTTTGTCAATCTTGACATCCATAAGGATCGGTTGGAAATCCGCTATCAAGACCTGGATGGGGATACGTTCCAAGTCAACCCCACCAGCACTGTCATGGACCTCCTGGAGACCTACCGGCCGGAATGGCGCACTCAGCAGTCAGTCGGACTTTATGTCTACTACAATTCTTCCTGCTGACGTCCGTCATCCTTTCTTACTACGTCTCTCGTGCCACGTACGTCGACCAGGCGTGATCCTGCCCTATAGTCCTTGCACTACGAGCTATTCCGCGGAAAAATGAATTTCACAGCTGCCGTCATGTACGAAATTGACGTATTTTATGTCGTCACCTGTGTGATACTTTCTAAGGACCCAATTCCTAAGTTTGTCGATGACCTCGTGCTATTCGAATCTATTGCCTGAAGGTCGTACAGGATGTTATCTTTTTCATGACCGTTTCCCGGGATAATTTCCACGTCTTCTTTGTATTTTCAAATCATGTCCGATGTCAAACGCGAATCAGCCATGGCGAACCTTTCTCGGCCAGCCTCCTCCAACCGATCCGCAGCCGCGAACGCAGACACAGATGCACCCATGGATCCTACATCCGGGACATCCCCAACTACATCTCCTCCTAGCTACGCTCTCCATGCGGCGGAAATGATCACTCCTCCTTTTACCACTGCAAGTACTATGACGCCCTTCAATCATATGGATCTTTACCAACAAGGAGAATATTTTACGGAGCAAATGCCTCCGAAGACCCGAGCATTTCTCTTTCCGGCTTACTGGTGATCATGGAATGTCTCTTCGCCTTTCTGATACTGGCGTGCGATTTTTGACTTACCACTTCAACACGGAGGATCTCCTTACGCGGACTCCACGGACAATCAACTTCCTGTGACGACCGCTTCCACGGCATCAACGGTCCCTGCATTGGCTTCTCAATTGCTTCGGTTGCTCTTTGGCCAATCAGAGTCAGGTTCTACTACCTCCTCTCCTGCTTCGGCGATCACCCGTGGCATCTCTACCGACCAGCTGCAGGCTCTCGCTCAGGGACTTCAAACTTGGGCATCTTGGAGCCCTTCTGATTCGGGTGTCTGAGACAACGTCATAGGACCTCGTGAAACATTGATGTGATCTTCCGGTAAAAGAAAAACCATGCTACGGCAGGGTGTGTGTGGGGAACATCTGAACAGATGTAAAATGTCTTTTGATATGTTCATTTCATCAAGCAGGGGGACCATCCATGTGCTGTGAGGGATGGTCCAACGAAGCGGCCACAGTACATGCGGATATCACAGCTGATCACCGTGACGTACCTGCTTATTTATTAAACTTATTTATTTATTCTCTGCAATGGCCCGGGGCTAAGCAAAGAACCCCTACAAGAGTTTCTTTTCATTCCACACATATGGCAAAGGGCTAAGCCGAGAACCCTTACATCCAGTTTTTCTAGATGCTCAAGATTTTCAATTTGCTTCAGTTTTCCAAGATTGTCTCGGTTCTGCACGCTTTCCACAATTTGTTTACTGGGATCTTTCATCAAGATTCTGGTCGTGCTCTTATTTTTCGTTTATTCATGTTTGGGGTCTATGTGAACAAGGTTTTGATCGTGGTCATGTTTGTCGGAATTCCTTCGTATTAATTGCATACACCTTCGAGGAGGTCTACCTTATATCACTTATCTTGTTTACTTGCACTTCAGTTCCGGACGGATCACTACAATGATCCAGTTCGTGTCTGTGTGTGTGTGTGTATTGTGCGTGCAGAACACACACACATACATACATACCTACATACAAACAAACATACATACATACGTACGTACGTACATACGTACGTGCATACATACATACATACATACATACATACATACATACATACATACATACATACATACATACATACATACATACACACATACACACATACATCCACGCACGCACGCACGCATGCACACATGCATGCACACATGCATGCATGCATGCATGCATTCATGCATACATACATACAAAAAACATACATACATACATGCACGCATGCATACATGCATACAGACATACAAACAAACCTACATACATAAACATCCCGGCGGACCGGAAAGTGAGGTCGTGAAATACTTTTTTTTTTTCAAAAAATCATCGTTTCGCCTAGGCGAAAACACAATTCAGCGATCACAAAAACTCTGAAATTCAGACGTCTGAATTTGGTGTTTTTTTAGATAAATGTGTATTTCGCCTAGGCGAAACGCAATTTCTGCTTCAAACAAGTTCAGGCATGCTCAGCTGTCCGCACCGTCATTTTTACATCTCTTGCAGTTTGGACAGCTTGGCTTTCGCCAAGTTTTTGTACGTGTGGATGAATCTCCATTGCTACATCAGCATAACATGCCCCACCCCACCCCACCCCATCATCAGCGTAGCATCAAGAACCTCAGCAAGTTCACACGAACGTTAACATGCCCCACCCCACCCCACCCCACCCCATCATCAGCGTAGCATCAAGAACCTCCGACTCGAAAAAGAAGCGTTTCGCGACCTCAGTTTTCGGTCCGTAGGCATAAACATACATATACATACATATACATACAAATCCATGCGCATACAAACCAACATACACACATACACACATACATACATATACATATATATATATACATACATGCACATACATATACATACATATACATACAAATCCATGCACATACAAACAAACATACACACGTACACACATACATACATATACATACATATACATACATATACATACAGATACATACATATACATACATATAAACATACATACACATACAAACAAACAAACATACATACATACATACATACATACATACATACATAAATACACACATACATACATACATACATACATACAAACACATACATATACACACATATACATACATATACATAAATATACATACATATATATACATACACATACATACACATACATACAAACATACATACATATTTACATACATACATACATACATACATACACACACATACATACATATACATATATATACATACATGCACATAGATATACATACATATACATACAAATCCATGCACATACAAACAAACATACACACATACACACATACATACATATACATACATATACATACAGATACATACATATACATACATATAAACATACATACACATACATACAAACAAACATACATACATACATACATAAATACATACATACATACATACATACATACACACACACCCATACACAGACATACACATACATACACATACATATACAGACATATACATACATATCCATACATACACTAATAGATATACATACATATACATACATATACATACATATACATGCATATACATACATATACATACATACACATACATCCCGGCGCCTGGTTTATCGCGCGTGTGTTTTGGCATTTTCTCAAGGGTCTTTATGATGACCTTCATGTTTATCTCTTGGTATTTGCAGGACTTTTGAAGCAATCATCATCATGTTTGGTCACAAAATGTGGCTAATTCCATTGTGTTTTTTTTTCATCATTTTTCACTTGTATTTGCAGGCTTTTGTGAACGCCAGGAGTAGAAAGAGGCTGTTTCAGGATGCCTTGTTTTTTGATGGATTTGCGTTTCGCCACAGGGAGACAACAAAAAATTCGGACTTTTCGGTTTTTTTTCTGGCGCAGCACTTTCACTGCATGTTCGCTCGAAGAGTCTCGGCGTGTGCAAGTGCAAGAGACGAGGTCGGTAGCGTAGCATCAGGTATGTGTGCAAGTGCAAGAGACGAGGTCGGTAGCGTAGCATCAGGTATGTGTGCAAGTGCAAGAGGCGATGTCGGTAGCGTAGCATCACGTATGTGTGAAAGTGCAAGAGAAGAGACCGGTAGCGTAGCATCACATATGTGTGCTAGTGCCATTGAACGTTATTAGCCAACCCCACCCCACCCCACCCCAACCCATCTGTAGCGTAGCATCAGGTATGTGTGCAAGTGCAAGAGACGAGGTCGGTAGCGTAGCATCAGGTATGTGTGCAAGTGCAAGAGACGAGGTCGGTAGCGTAGCATCAGGTATGTGTGCAAGTGCAAGAAACGAGGTCGGTAGCGTAGCATCAGGTATGTGTGCAAGTGCAAGAAACGAGGTCGGTAGCGTAGCATCAGGTATGTGTGCAAGTGCAAGAGACGAGGTCAGTAGCGTAGCATCACGTATGTGTGCAAGTGCAAGAGACGAGGTCAGTAGCGTAGCATCACGTATGTGTGCAAGTGCAAGAGAAGAGACCGGTAGCGTAGCATCACATATGTGTGCTAGTGCCATTGAACGTTATTAGCCAACCCCACCCCACCCCACCCCAACCCATCTGTAGCGTAGCATCAGGTATGTGTGCAAGTGCAAGAGAGAAGGTCGGTAGCGTAGCATCAGGTATGTGTGCAAGTGCAAGAGACGAGGTCGGTAGCGTAGCATCAGGTATGTGTGCAAGTGCAAGAGACGAGGTCGGTAGCATAGCATCAGGTATGTGTGCAAGTGCAAGAGACGAGGTCGGTAGCGTAGCATCAGGTATGTGTGCAAGTGCAAGAGACGAGGTCGCTAGCGTAGCATCAAATATGTGTGCTAGTGCCATTGAACGTTATTAGCCCACCCCACCCCACCCCACCCCACCCCATCGGCCAAAAAAACACAAAAACGCACGTACGGCAAACCAGCCGCTAGCACATACATGTACATACATATACATACACATACATACATATACATACATACACATACATACAAACACACATACATACATGCATACATACATACATACATAAATAGATAGATAGATAGATGGATGGATGGATAGATAGATAGATAGATAGATACATACATAGATACATAGATACATAGATACATAGATATATACATACGTACAGCTCTATTGGATGATCCTTGGTGAGAAAACGTGGATGGCCCTGGATCCACTTGCCAGAAGAAGCCGACGATTCGCGGTTTCAAGCGACTGGGGTTGGGATGGCGTCGTCCATGCCCTCCGTGGGGTGTGGCGAGTTCGACACCCTGTAGGAGGAACTCCCGCAGAGTGCAAATTTCGTTCCGCTTCAGGTGGTTTGGTGCCCTATTTTTGGATGCACTCGTATTTGGAAGAAAAGCGTGCGGCTTTTATTAAATGCCACATGCAGCGCATGCAGCATCCCAATAGCCGCTTTGGCAAATGGGAAGCACAGTACGGTTTGGTGCCTGTGTTTTCAAAAGAAGAGGACTGGCTGGCTGGAGGCTGGCACAGGGCATCTGACTGGTTTTTGTTTGGTGGTTTCTCGGAGCGCTGCTGAGCCGACTTTGCTCAGGGCTCTTCAACTGAAGGTTGCGTATCTCGCATTTGTTCGCCTTTTTTGGGATACAAGGGACACAATTCATACATTTTTTTGCCATGAGCCGCTGAAGCGTTGAGTTCACGTGGTTTTGGCTCCTCTGAAACCCCTTGTGCACGGAATTTTGGGCCATGAGAAACTGCACAACATGCAGTTGGACTGATGGCCCATTGTCTGTTGTCTTGAGCCTTGAGCGCCAAGCGCCAAGATGCAAATTTAAAATACATGAAAAGGGTTGCACAGGCTGGGGAAATGGGGGTTGGGTAAAGGGGGCGAATCTAGTAGATGTAGTAGATCTAGTAGACCTAGTATCTAGTCCAGATCTGAAATCAAAATCTAGTCCAGATCTGAAAGCACAATGCATCTGAAAATCACCTTTGCAATCAAGACAATCTCACACTTGTTTAGTCTTGAAGACGCGAGCTTCAATTTGCAAAGCAACCTCCTAGTCTTTCCTAAAGGTCCAGCGTCCCCAAGGAGTGCGGAGACAGCAGACAGTCCTCATAGCGAAAGGACGCTGGCCCAGCGGGATCCACTCTTTTTGGGTTTCCCCAAGAGTCTGCCTTTTTCGATTTTTACACCAATAAACCATCAGCATGGGGAATCATCTTGGTATCACGTGGATCTCCGGAATCTCCGAAAAAGGTCGAAGAATTGGACCAGAGATGACCAGATTTCAGGCTTCCAGCAGGATGGGATGGGGCCCCCAAGGAGCGCCACAAGTGCCAGCCAGCCGGGAGGAATCCGCACGGGGGCACCGTTCGGGGCGTGGCAGTTCTTTGGTCAACATTTCAGAGTGGAGACCAGCCAAATTCGGGTACCCAGAAATTTGACCCATAGGTAAAATATGTAAAATGGTTCTTGAACTGTTGAAGAAACATGTCTGATATGATATATGACAATATATTACATATATCCATATCTTTATCTGAATACTGTATATGTATCTCTATATATATATATATCCATATATATATATATATCTCTATATCTCTATATCTCTACATTTCTGGAACTCTATGTCAAAAAATATCTATATCTAATACTAATATCTATATCTATATCTTGTGTTTTTCCAGCTGCCGGGAGTCATGGAGATCCGCATATGCAACCTCTAGAGTGGTCGACGTATCATTCTAGGCTCAACTGACCAGGGGGTCAAGGCAGGGTCCAAAAGAAGCGCGTGGCCGCGCCGATGGTGGTGTGATTTGGTCAGGAGGCCATAAATCGAGAAGTGTAACAAGTTCCAAAGGATCAGGGGTCCCTTACCATTTTCTACATCTTTGACCAGGCGGTCATCCAGGTTGAGAGATCGGGTCCGCTGCCAGTTGAACACTGGTAGCGGAGCCCACGGGCTCGCCGCTACAGGCGCAAGCGAGTTGATCCAGGTGCACTATGTCTGGGGGCAGTGATGGGACCGCAGCAGCTGCGGCGACTGGAACTGGGGGAAATTCATTTTTACCCTGGCACCTCATCCCTGTTTTCAAACCTGGTGAAACGGATGTGAATGAATACACCCGAAGGCTGGAATTTCTGGCCAACATCTGGCCTACGGATCATTTGCCGTCCTTGGCGCCTCGAGCATGCATGCTTTGCGAGGGTACGGCATTTGCAAAAGTGGTTAGGTTGGATCCCGAGAAACTGCGGGTGAATTCAATTGATGGTGTGAAGTTGGTGGTGAAAACGCTAGGAGGTGTTTGGGGACAATCCAAGTTGGAGAAGAAGTACGAGCGATTTGAGAGGGCCATTTTTGGAACTATTCAAAAGAGCGATGAAACCCACACCAGTTACCTAGCTCGCCATGAAGTACAATATGAAGATCTCATGAGTATGGGGGCAACCTTAGAGGAGATGAGGGCCTACATACTTCTCCGAAACTCTGGCTTATCCTCTGATGATAAGAAACGTATCATTGTGGAGTCCAAAGGTGAACTGGAGTATGACAAGGTGACTTCAGCACTACAATTACTGGGGTCCAAGTTTTTCGGAGAGGTCCAAGCTGGTACCAAAACTCCTGGTCGCACCAAGACATACGATGCAAACATGATTGATGAAATTGAAGGTGAAGCCGAAGATTGGGATGAACAAGTTTTTGTAGCAACGGAAAACACTGAAGATTCTGCGTTTGAGACTCTTCTTGCTGAAGGCGATGAAGATGCTCTGGTGATGTCTCAGTTTGAGGAAGCCATAGTGGAGTCTTTGCAGAGTGATCCGGAAATAGCCTCATGTCTCAATGCATATGCTGATGCCAGGCGCCGTCTCATGGACAAAGCCAAGGGTCGTGGTTTCTGGGGCCCCTCCAAGACCAACAAAGGGAAAGGGAAAGGAAAGAACAAAGGGGGCTTTAAGTCTCAGTTTCGTAAACCCCTGGCTCAAAGAATCCTTGAGAGCACATGCCGCATCTGCCACCAAAAAGGGCATTGGAAGGCCGAGTGCCCTCAGCGCAACAAGACCACAACCTCTTCTGGACCACCGACAGGATCGTCGGCATTCGCAGGAGTTTCGATGGCCTTTCATGATGGTGAACCAGAAGCTGCCGATGGCGATGTGATCAGTGAATTGCCTGAAAATGCAGTAGCCTTCATGGTCGATGAGGTACGACACAAGCGCATGACACATCCCCAGTTCCATGAAAAGTGTTTGTATTCACGACAAGTCCATCACAGTTGGTCTCCCCAAGCAGTTAAATCCCAAATGGAAAGAATCAGACCCGATCTGGCAACCCGATTGCGATCCATTTGCAGGTTGACGAAGCCGGACCGCCAGTCACCGGCGACACATCCGACACTGCCTGACCCCCTGAGCGTCAATCAGGATGAGAGACAAGTTCTCATGGAAGAAGCACTTTTTGCATCTCATGGGTCATGTGGAATCGTAGATCTAGGAGCCAGCATGTCAGTCATTGGGGCCCGACAGTTCCAGGAATTGTGTCAAGCTCTACCCAAGACCATCAAGACCCAAATGAGAGAAGCACCATGCCAAGTGAGTTTCCGTTTTGGAAATGACAGCACAGTGACGGGTCGCAAAGCCGTCTTTTTTCCAATCGGTCCACAGTGGATTAAGATCGTGGTAGTGCCATCCAATACTCCTTTTCTGATTGCAAACAGTGTTTTCCGATCTTTAGGAGCAGTCATTGACACAGGTGCCAATCTTATTTATTTCAAGAAGCTGGACCGATCAATTCCGATAGTCTTGACAGAACGGAAACTGTATTGCCTCGATTTCCAAGACCTTTTGACATGTCCGCAACAAAGCCCAAAAGGTTCAGCAGGTGATAATAATCCATGTTCTCCGCCTGAGAATTGTGATGG